TATCTTCCCTAAGCAAGGAACGGTAACTCTTGAATTTATCATTTACCAGTATAATAAAAAGTTTTAAAAGGGCTGGGACACAGATTTGAAGCTCATTTTTTCTATAATTTTCTAAATAATGTCATGATTTATGTGTTACTATAGAGCATTTCACACCGAAATATATTAAAAAGGTGTTTAGAAACTAATTTATCTGAAAATTATATAAACGCTATAACTCGCGTCAGTTAAAAATAAAGTTGGAAATTTATTTATTTTGTTTACCAAATAAAGTTACGAACATACTGTGAATTACTCAATTGAAAATGAAGGCGTTATAAAGATCTCAAATTATTATATTATTTATTTTCCTGCCAGGAAAGTAATGCCTCTATTTCAATTCATGCATCATGTGACACCGTCGCTACTTTTAGATTGATAAACAAAAATGGCGTCAAGAAAACGAGGTAGGCCGTTTGGTATACAAATAACTTTTGACATGGATTGATTGATTGTATGTTGTTTTACGTCCCATTCGAGAATTTTTCACTCATATAGAGACGTCACCATATACCGGTGAAGGGCTTCAAATTTTGACCTTTACTCGGCACTTAGGGCCATTGACCAGTGAGGGATCTTTATCGTCCTAACGCCTGCCGTGACACGGGACCTCGGTTTTTAAGGTCTCATCCGAAGGACCCGCAACTTTCACTTCAAAGTGCCGAGTTGCTACCCATTTTTTTTATCGACTTAGGTTAGTCGCTGCCGAGATTCGAACTCACGACCTCTCGTTCACGGAGCGAGCGCTCTACCGACTGAGCTACCGTGAACGGTTCTTTTGACATGGATGACACACGTCTAATGCCTAAGGATACTTAATCTTTTAAAACAACCAGTATTAACCATCTACTTTGTAATGACAGATATTAACCTTTTATTCATAATCGTAGTCAAAATGCAACGTACCTCGTCTTCCATAATTTCCCGCGGACATGCGTGCCTTTATACTGTTTACTCACTTCCTTCATCAATATTCATGAAAAGGGTGAAATTGCAGATCTTGCTTAATTGTTTTGTAATTACAACGATTTCTTTAGTAAAACTTTGTGAAAAGTATTATTTTTTAATTACACATCATGTTTCTCAAATCAAATAATCATTTTGTTTTACATAAAAAAAAAAATGGCGTTTATATAGCGTGTATATCTTTAAAACTACAAATTTCGGGACGCGTTCGATTGACACATATCTTTGCACTTTCTTAACGTAAACTTTATCCATAATACTAAAAAAGTAGAAATGTCGTTGTGTATTTATGAAAAATATGAAAAATATAACCCAGAAAGTTAAGAGTAGAAATGCGAGAAAGCAATACCAACTCATCAGTATTGTCAGTCCGTGCTCAGTGATGTGTGCAGACTAAACAAATTGAACACAAACGGTAAAACGTAAACACTAACAATAACAGAGCTCCTGTCCTGTTTATAAACACAGGTGTTTGACGTGATGTTAGGAAGAATAAAGTTGTCATTTAATTCATAGAATATTCATGTAAGTTCAAATCATTAAATTGAATTTATATTTTGAATAAAATAGCCATTAAAACTGTAAACAATGAAACTGTGTCCAGGCACCTTTAAAAATGAGACTTGATTTTTATGCTCCCGTATCGAAGATTCGGGGATATATAGTTTTTCCCTGTCCGTCCTTCTATTTGTCTGTTTGTCCGCAAAAACTTTAGCCTTGCCCATAACTTTTAATTGGTTGGAGCTATGACTTTCATATTTCACATGTGTATTTCTTGTGACAAAACCTTTCTTTGGGTACCATCATATTTGACCTTTTCACCTTGACTTTGGAGTTTGACCCATGCACTTTTGAAAAATTTTATAAGACTTTAACCTTGGCCATAACTTTTAAACAGTTGGTGCTTGGGGTTTCTACCTTCACATGTATATTCCTTGTGACAAGACCTTCCTTTGAGTACCAACAACTTTGACCTTTTGACCTTGACCTTGGAGTTTGACACACTTTTGAAAAAAATTTAACCTTGGCCATAACTTTTGAACAGTTGGTGCTTGTGGTTTCAATCTTCACATGTGTATTCCTTGTGACAAGACCTTCCTTTGGATACCAACCACTTTGGCCCTTTGACCTTGGAGTTTGACATACTTTTGAAAATCTTTAATCTTTGCCATACTTTTTAAACATTTGGTGCTACGGCTTTCATACTTCACATATACATTCCTTGGGACAAGACTTTCCTTTGGATATCAACAATTCTGGCATTGACCTTGACCTTGGAGTTTGACCTACTTTTAAAAAGCTTGTTAAAATAGAAATTCTATAATAGAAATACTTTTCTTTACTTTAATAAAGCTTTAACCTTGGCCATTACATGTGAACGTTTGGTTCAAGGGCTTTCACATTTCACGAACATGTGTATCACTTTTGACAAGACCTTCCCTTGGGGCCCATTGACCTTGACCTTGACGTTTTACTTACTTTTAAAAAACTTTTACCTTCGCCATAACTTTTGAACAGTTGGAGCTAGGGCTTTCAAAATTCACAGGTATATTCCTCGAGACAAGACCTTTCTCTGGGTACCAACATTTAAATTTTGATCTCTTGAACTGGAGTTTTACTTGCATTTGAGAAACTTTAACCTTTGCCATAAGTTGCCATACGGGGGCATCAGTGTTTCACAAACACGTCTTGCTATCATTATTTTCAAGCCATGCTTCTTGACATGGACCAAGATAACTTTAACTCTTTGAAACGATTTTGTAAAAAGACACAATTTGCTCCATATAAAATTACAAACATAACTGACATATTTAAAGAAAATAGTTTTGCTACCACAACTGAAATTAATCTGAAAGACATCATGAGCTACTTTCAAAGCTTGGTCTATAAAATTGGAAATATGGAATTTAGGTGAAAATGTTGTACAATGTACATTGCTGTGTGCTCATCCAAAAACTGTACCAAAAAATGAAAAAATCGACCAAAAAATCTATATAAAAAATCATTTTCATTACTAAATTTCAAATCAACAAATGTACGTACCACAGCATGTAGTGTTGATTACTTATTGTAAGTAACTTTTGCAGCTTTTAGAATTTCATTTTCACAACAATCCCCATGGTCATTGTTGAATTTTGTAAAGACTGTCCATTTTAGATGCATCTCTCTGACTCTGTGTTACAATACTTATGGACAATAAGCAGAGTAAATGAGTTATGAATTAAATTACTTGTTCCTGATGCAATTCGCCTACCTAGTGTTAAATGCCCCTGAGGTAGTACGGGTTACACTCCTCAAATAGCCTATGACACATTTCAAGGTCAAAAAATTCTCATCGATCTGAAATCGTTATCTTATTCTTTTTTCCCCTAAAATTCGAACTAGGCGTGAAAAGTACAGTTCTGGACATATTCTAACAAGGATGAATGCTTCGATGTATAAATACACTTTGATTTATTCCAAAAATTATTTTTGGTACATTTTTATTACATAATAGTAAGTTTTGGTGTAAAATCTTGTGATGTTTTAGATATTTATGTAAGTACAGGTAACAAAGTTAAAACGCCTTATTTTTATGTCTGTGACATAACATGTTGACATTTATTCTTCGTTGTAGTTTTTTCATCTCTCCATTGAAAGTATAATTATTCTAAACACTTTTTGAAGAGATGCACATTTGATAAAAATCATTACAGTTTTATTGTTTTTATTTAATTACTACGCAGATGAGTATAATCTTTAGTCTTTACAGATGCAGCTATACCAATAATGAATAATTTAAGGTATATGTTTTGGACAATGCGTGACTTTCAATGTTGACTCCGTAGATTGTCTCTAAAACAGACACCTCCTTCAAGAATCCGTTTAATTTCATGTATAAATGAAGCTTCGAATTGGCACATTTCTTAAAATTTATAGCTATATCCATCACATTTTTAATTTTTTCTGCTAATTTTTATGTTTGTAATGTTTAAGGAAGTTACCGACATTTTGCTACAATGTGTGCGAAGCTCTCGTTACTTACCTATACTTGCATTATAGGCCTTATGATGGGTAGTCGAGTTATTATCTTTAATAAACAGTACATGTATATTTATTTACGCATATACATTGTACTGGCTCCTCCACACATCTCATAGGAGAATTTGGCCATACTGCAACAAAAAGTGGGGGGGGGGGGGGGGCGAAGCGGCGTATAAGTAAAAATTTCCATACTAAATTAAGAGCAAAACATTGAACATTGTCGGGGGGAAAAGTACCCACCTCCCCTAACTTTATGTCTGATAATATTTAAAAAATTATGTACTGAAATTGGAATTATGTTTAATTCAAGTAATAATATATAAATAAGAGAGTTTTAAACCGGCAACAATAGAAGTTCGAACAAGTTCAAATAGGGTTGTTAACATATGTACAGAACAGAGCAGATTATATCTAATTTAGAGTCCGGAACAGACATGTATGAAATTATTACAATAATAAGTAAGGAAAAGATATGCAAATGTACATACATATATTATAACAACTGCATCATCCATTGAACAACCAGAATTCCGTAAGCCCCACCACCTATATTTTCTGAGACATAAATCGTGACCTACGATTCGTACGTTTCTGATGATCTTGCCGACGCTTTTTTTTTAATTGAATCACAAAAACCCGATATTCCAGGTATTAATTATATATAGTTACCAAGGGCATTAATCATGTTAATTGGCCTTTTATTTTATTTTCATGAAATTGTAAACAATTGCACATTACTATATCGATATAAATATGAAATATATTTTATCTTGTATGGCGATTTTGCTCTAGATTTGTATCTCTATTATAAAACCTACTTTCGAAAAAAAGTTCTATTTCCCGCGTTCTTTTCTTTCACGTTTACTAAATGATAACCCCCGAGGATGACTTTCGGTCACTCAGGGCACCTGCTATAAACAATATGGCCGCCGATAGAAAGTGAAATTTTCTGATAAGCATCTAAGATTGGATTTAGTTGTCTAAAGATATCTAATATGTAATTGGTGTACCAAAATACATCAAGAAATTGTTCTTCCATAAAAATGTCAGGTGGAGATAAGGGTCAAATCGGTACAGAGTCGCCGCGGCCTCTAAGGAAACGACGAACCCGCATGGCGAACGACAAACGGATCGCGGATGATGAATTCATGGCAGCAGCCATCGGAGACGTGGAATGGCTAAGGCAGAGTCTAAGGGAACAGAAAGGAAAAATTAATTTTGATAAAAATGTAGGTATAATGTCTGTGTGAGTGATTGCAGGAATATCAAGTTTATCTTTGTTTACAACTCGAATTTTCTCGGTCGTTATGTGCTTTTTTGTTTTAAAGTTGTGCATATCCATGATCAACTATTTGTTGATTACAAGAGGGGATAATACTTTTTTTTTCGATTTTTACTATCAAGATTTTTCCTTACTTAAAGACGATATTTATGTGATTCATTGTTTGTTTTTGTTTTGTTTGTTTGTTTGTTTGATTTTTTGTATTAACTATATATGTGTAATCATGAATGAGATTGTGTTGAACAAGTTTGGTTCTCTTAAACCCTTAAACCAAAATATATATTATATGTAGTGTAATGATTGATACTTTATTTGAATATAGAAATATTTTCTTATTCTTAATAAAAAAAAACCTCATTAAAATTTGGTTGATATGTTATTTTAAACTTATTAAAAATGAGCTTTATTTACCTTTAATGAAACTTTGCTTAATATTTTTTCAACAGGTTTTGAAAATATTTTCAAATAGAAAACCAAGGCTTTCAAAAACATTACGTAGAAACAAGTGCAACTTTTACAAAAATGGGAGGTACCTTGTGGAAGCAATTTGAAATAAATATGTTAAAGGAATTTTTCTCTCACGAGTATATTGGGCAGTACATTCATGATTTCAGCTGGGTAAAAGTACCGGGTACCGGAAAATTTTGAAAGGCCTGGAAAACATATGTCAATATGTTTTTAAATGTTAAGTGTAGATCTGTCTTACTAATTGAGTTCAATACATGTTAATCAGATAAGCAGTTTTTTTGTTTTGAGAAATAAAGTCAGTTTATTGGTTCATTTCACAATGTTATCTTATATACAGTTAACCTTTGGAGTTTTAAATATTGTGTATACCTCTTGTATGTTGTAAAACAAAACAAGTCATACAATGTTTAAATGACAATGTTTGCCACATGGTAAACAGGCAAAGGATTCCTAAATACTCTATTACTCTAGTTGAATACTTATCTTTTAAGAAGTAATGAACAGATTATTATCAAATATTATACTTGATAGTTTAAAGCTACAACAAGAGACAATAATATTTAGATGATATTTATTGCAAACTTGGATAATGCATTCACTATAACTTTCCAGATTCCATGTGAAGAAATCTTTTTGCAGATACATGTATATACAATATAATTACATGTATATGTTTTTTTTTGTAATTTAGTCTTGTTATGATTATGATCATATATGTCATTGAAGTGACATAAAATTTTGCAGAATTTCTGCTGTTCCTATTGGATTCTGAAGATATAATTAATATCTAACATCTAAGGTTTAAATTAAAAACAAACAAACAAACAAACAGTAACTAAAGATGTTAAAATATATAAAGAATTTGAAAAAAAAAATATTTTATTGCATCAAACTTTTCCAATTTATATGATGGTTGTAATAAATTTAAAGCTATTAGGTCAATTCAACTTAATTAGTAGATTATCATCCAGGGTCACCAAAATATATGGGGTGGGTGGGAGGATTTTATTTTTTATTTATCAGTTTTTTTGTGTCCGAATTTGACAGTAATTCTCACCATCTGAAAGTCAGGTTGGGGTGGCCTGTTGTCAAATTTCCGCTCACAAAATCATTGTAGAAATCGATGATTGTTTTTTCATCACTAAAATTTGTAGCATACCAACCCCTTCTTTCGTTCACGCCTGTCACAACACGAGAAAATAATAAAGACATGCATTTCTCTTTCTTAACTTTTGGTTCTTGATGTTTCTAAACCGGAAATACTTTTGGAAATATAAATACCGGAATCGAACATAAAAAATTTCCAGAAAATATAATTCTTGCAAAAATAAAAAAAATTGGGGCGGGCCAATTTCTGAGGGGCGGGCGGGGATGATAATCTATCAATTAAGTTGAATTGGCCATATCTGATAATCAAAAATTTAAAATCTATACTTTTCTGTGGATAAATAATGTGTAAGTACATTTAGAGTTGTTGAAATTTTGTCACACTTTTTTCCAATATATTCTTACAACATGTGAACCAGCATAGTTTGTTTGCAACAATTGTATAGCTAAAGATTTTTTTTTTCATTTGAAATAGGGTTTGTCAGCAATACACCTGGCTGCTATCCATGGTAGACTGGACTGTCTGAAACTTCTAATAGAGAAATACAAGGTAAACATTAACCTGCCCAGTACAACAGGGTGGAGGCCTATACACCTGTGTATCAGTAATCAGACAGGGAAGAGAGCTCTACAGTGTCTACAGTACCTAATCAACAAGAATGCTGATCCTTCTGTGTAAGTGTTCACCAACTCAGTCGTCAGACCTTTCTAGTTCTATTAATTTGGCACATTGCTGCCAGTCGTAACTACTCAGCCATTTATGAAACCGCAAATAACTGCAAATAAATGATTATGCAAAAAGGATTGTATTGCTACTGGTAAAGGGGGAAGTAAGCCTTACATTCTAATGTTTTTAAGAATTTAGCCATATATCTGTTAAGGAATTAATTATTTTAATTTAATTTGAATATAAATATATTATTGTTACTTATATCCTGGTATGGATTAAAAATGTTCTATACAATAGAAATCTTTAAAACATTTTTGATTTTTAGAAATTTTAAAAAAAGTTTTAAAATATCAAATATACTGTATTTGTTCCTTATATTTTAGCACATTGAAATTAAATTGAATTGCAGTTAAAGTAGCACAGTCATAAAATAGTGCTGTAGATTATTTAGAAGAGCAACAAAGACAGCATGTAAAGATTGTTTATCATGCAGAATAAAGCTAACAGTAGTTCTTAACCTTTAACTGATTTGATATTTTCAGTCCAAACAATGATGGAATTACACCAGTACATCAGGCAGCTTCAGAGGGCCATGTTCAATGTCTGAAACTCCTTATAGAAATTGGAGCTAAAATTGATGGAAAAGACATTCGAGGTCACACCCCACTAGATCTTGCCAAACTCTGGGGGCACAAGAAATGTGCCAGGTGAAAAATTTGAACTTTTTCTAAAAAAAAAATATATATATATTCTGGATTTTATATTTTGTACTCTGTTGACAAACTTAATATCCATGAGCTAGTACAATGAGGCTACCATAAAATTTTACTTGTAATAATCACCATATACTTGACTAATGCATCTTTTTTTGACAAAGGAGTCCCAGATAAATGTATTTTATTTCTTATTCAGTTTGTTATACTGACTGTCTATGCAAATTTCTGTTGACAGTCAGTAAAAAACCTAGTAAATAGTTTGTTTTGTTGAGGACCTAAAAGGTTTAGTATTTAAATATATATAAGAAAGAAATACTATTTAAAAGATGTTTTAGACCATGATGTCTTCTAAATTTTGCTATTTGCCATCTGAAGAAATTAAGACACCAAACATGTGATGCATTTTGTCCAAAGAAGATTATAATTTTTTCCAAGAAATGTAGAATAATCAAACTAATCAGAAGTTCAGAACTGGTAATTGTCTTGAAATATAAGAAATATTGGGGCTCCTGTTCAAAATCTGAAAAGTTTTGAAGACAATTGCAAAAAAGATTTGCTCTCATTAATGTTTTCTTGCCATTCCTTAAACAACAGGGAGGAGAGCTTGATGCATTTTGAAAACATTTAAATTCATAGGAAAGCAATCACTGAAAATAATTCTGTGCACAACAACTATTTTTCTCATAACTATTTTTAGCCAATAAATCTGTTTTTACTCCATTTTGAATTTCATATTTTCTTGACTGGCCCTGTTATTGTTAATTCATTATTTTAGTTTTTTCAGTACAGAGTAATATTTTTTTCTATTTCACACTAAAATGAAAAAAAATAATGAAAATAAAACAGCAGTACAAATAAAACTATTTACAGAATCCATAGAATTATAATGAAGTTACTTTTTATGAATTTTGTAGAATACTTGCTGCTGAGCTGTGGCACCAGGACAAGGATAATGTAGCTAAAGAGCTGGGGCAACTGAAGAAACTGAAGATGCAGCAGGTCCTTAAAGAAATGGAAGAACAGGGAGAATTTAAGGCAGCCCAGGAATACTACGGAGAGAAAGCCTATCAGGAATGGATGCAGGTAATATACACACCTGTAACAGGTAGGTCAATATACACACGTGTAACAGGCAGATCAATATACACACCTGTAACAGACAGGTAAATATACACACCTGTAACAGGCAGGTAAATATACACACCTGTAACAGGTAGGTCAACATACACACCTGTAACAGACAGGAAAATATACACACCTGTAACAGGCAGGTAAATATACACACCTGTAACAGGCAAGTAAATATACACACCTGTAACAGACAGGAAAATATACACACCTGTAACAGACAGGAAAATACACACACCTGTAACAGGCAGGTAAATATACACACCTGTAACAGACAGATCAATATACACACCTGTAACAGACAGGAAAATATACACACCTGTAACAGGCAGGTAAATATACACACCTATAACAGACAAGTAAATATACACACCTGCAACAGACAAATCAATATATGCACCTGTAACATGCAGGTCAATAAAACACCTGTAACAGGCAGTTCAGTATACACACCTGTAACAGGTAGGTCAATATACACACCTATAACAGGCAGGTAAATATATGCACCTGTAACAGGCAAGTAAATATACACACCTATAACAGGCAGGTCAATATATACACCTGTAACAGGCAGGTCAATATACACACCTGTAACAGGCAGTCAATAAAAACACCTGTAACAGGCAGCTCAGTATACACACCAGGTAGGTCAACATACACACCTGTTACAGGTTAAAAATTTGATATCAAATCTGTTTGTACTACTTAAGAATAACACTTGCATCTAATTAGTTCCCAATAAGGGCATTTTTACCAATGGTGGGATTTTTGAAGGTTGGTGATAAGCACACAAGATTAACCTATTGATCAAAAAAAAAAAGCTGTATGCACAGTATGCACCAACTAATACTTTAGAAATTTACTGGATTTGATTAACTTTTTTTGTAACAGGGTCCTGTACCCTCTCTACTGGGAATTTTTGAATTGAAAAAAATTGGCAAAATTTAGAAATATTGATGACTTATACATGTATTATGTTTTACTGTAGAATAAAGAAATCAGATTGTAAGCTTATCCTTCATAAATTTATGTACAATTATTATCTCAAAATTCAAGAAAAAAATTTCTTCTGCTTGTCATTTGGGATTTTTTACCTTAATTTTAAGGCAGAAGAGATGGATTGCCACTGGGTTCTTTTACTGATTCTGCATGCAGTGGATATTAAGCCCTGTTTAACCAAATTTTCCAGTTCATGTATTGCAATGTTGTCCTTAAGACCCAGGGGCTAGGGAATTTCCCCATCTATAATGACATAATCCCCTGGTTATTCTGTTATTCCTCCTCATCCCCCCATAGGGGAGGAACGCGAGACCCCTTTTACTTTTTTAATGTCCTCTGTTATTTCAATTCTTAAAGATAACCCTGATTATATATCAAACAATTGACAAAATTATTTTCCAATAGAAATTTTAATGATTTTAGCCATATACCTGTATTGATTCATGTGTATGTAACAGAAAAGCTTGTGCTGATTGTAAAAATCTGCCTCATATTGTAGAAAAAGGGCCTGGTACAATCTCCAACTGAAGGTAACAAGGAAGAAACAGCAAAGTTAGATGCAAATCAAAAAGCGAAAGCTGGTGAATCTTTGATGAAGCCCAACAGCAAAGTACAGCAACCAAGCGGCAAAAAGAGTGGCAGTGAAAGGAGTAACATCCACGTAGCTTTCCGTGACGACAGAACGCCATCACCTCAAAGTTCTAGAAAGCAGACAGATGTTTCAGATGAACATGGTAAAGAGGATGCTGATAAAGAAAACCAGGTCAGCTCAGCCAGAGCAAAACCAAAGTTTCATACTTTTGTCAACCCAGAGTCCTGGAGGCTTGCCCTTCATCCTCCAAAAACAGAGTATATTACCGATTTGAAGGATGAATATCCGAGAGATGAGTACACCATGATGCCTAGAACGAAATCTGCTCACAAGTATTTTGATGGGAAATTTGCCTGCGTAGAAGATATCACAGAGAGTAGTTTGAAAAATAAGAAACTGAAAAAAGATGTGCGCAAGCCAAATTTACCCAGAGAGGTCATCAGACAGGGGCTTTCAAAAGATCCAACTCTTGACCAGCGTCCAGTTTTATTTAAACCTATTCACATGTTTGATGTCACCATGAAGAAGAAATACGGGGATTCTGTAAAAGGAAAGAGCGAAGTGTCCCTACATCTGTGTGATGATGTTTCTTCGATTGTATATCGGAACAGTCTCCAGAGAGCTAACACTATTGACGTAGTCTCGCCCCGATCCGTCACATCCGATTGGCTGAGTGCCAGGTTTCCCAGGGACAAAGTTATAAATACCCTTAAAAATATGAAAAATCCCACAATGTTCCCTAATATACGAGGAGAGGAATACGACATAAATTATGGGGATATTGCCACTTTTAATTAAGTCCAGGCTAGATATTTATTTCCAAGATGATTAGTCATTTTGCTAGCATCTGTAATCTATGTGTTACCAATGTAAGGAGTACTTGTTTTACTCTTGTGTTAACTGATGATTCTTGAACAATTTATTGATTTATAAATTAGTGTTACAGTCAGTAATGTCTAAATTCTACCTGTTATTAATGTGTCAAGAAAGTTATTGTTGACCAGTTTGCTTGAAAGTGAATGAAGAAGTAGAAAAGCTTTTTGTATTATGCCTTTTTATGTACTGCTGCTATTTGTTGTTGTGTGTATTATCAAAGTTAATTTGGAAAGAGTTCTGTTCACTTGACAGAGAGTAAGACTTAAAGATATGAACAAAGCTCATAGAATTGATCTTTGGTCAGACAGACCTTTACTTCATTGGCTCGATCCTTACTGGACTCTTATGACTCTAGGCAATATGTTTTATGATTATTTTCATCAGCTATCCAACATCAATCTTACAAACAATACCTGGATATTCATTCCAGGCAGACAAATTATTTTATTCCAATTGTTTTCAAGTTTTAAAACTTCTATTGTCATTACAGTTATTTTGTTATTTTTCTTTTGAAAAGATTCATATATTTTTGTATTTTGCATCCATTTAAAGAAAGTATAGATAAGACATGATTCAAGGAGAATTGTATGAATACACAATTAAACTTTTGTTTAAGCATTGAAATTCTATATTTATAGTACCTTGTTCTTTGAAGCATTTTACATATAAGAGATATAGTTTTATGTATATTTTTGGAGTATTTTTTTTTTGTAGATTTTATCATGTTACAGTAATGTTAAACATGTCTGCTGCTTGTTTCATGTTATTTGTCAATATACTGCTGACACATTTTACTGTGTGGTTCCCATTCCTTTACACACATTGCATGTCTTTGATATATGTATATATGCTTTATCTACTCTTTCTTAAGTGCAATTAAAAAGAAGTAAAGCTTATTTGTTTTCTAATTTCTAGAATTATTAAACAATCAGCTGATGCCTTTTCAGATAGGGGCAATTTCCCATTATATTTTACCTTGTCTGCAGTTACAATGATGTGTCTTACTATCACAATTAATAGCCAAATACTATGAATAGCAGCTGTTGTTGATAAAGGACCTACCTCAGTCATGTGAATGCCCCTAAATCTCTCTCAAAACCAAATATATATATATATGCTGAATAATTTGATAAGGTATAACTATTATATATTAAACCACATTACTTTGTATGTACCAGAAGAGCTTCTCGTTGCTTTTTTTTTTAATTTTGCATTCCCCTTCACTGGAATTCCAAGATGAGGCTCTGATTATTTATAGCAGGATAAAAAAAGAATGTTTCATCAGATTAATTAGCTCACAAACTATTGAACAACATATGGAATGATATGGATGCTGGTAGAGTTTAGATAACTGATATGAGGTACCCCAACTATTTTGTATAATTTGAGAGGACTTAAGAAAATTGTAAAGGACATTACTTACCTGGCCTTTGGGCTAAAGATACAAGTACATAATGTCTTGCCAGGAATCAACTTGAATTGTACGGTCCAGAATATCAGATAGGTATACCAATTAACTACATGATTACCAACAGATATATAAACATTGTATGTACAACCTTTATTAATGAACCGAACCAGGATAAAAACGTTACATTGTAATACAATATCATAGCAAAAGACAACATAAAGTAATCCTCTTGTCTATTTGGAACTTGTCCCGGTAAATGTTCCATTTATAGTACCCTCCTCTCGGTTAATTTTGTATGTTGTAGACGAGTCGTAGAGGCTAATGCAGCAGCTGCACATGTTTTGAAATTCCCGCTGAAATTTTGTGTTGAAGAACCCGTATATAACGGGATTTTGACTCGTGTTGGCTGAGGCCAAGATGATGGTGATTGTGAATTGGGTGGATGTTATTTGTTTGAGATAGACTGCAAGAAAACTAACCACGAAAAACGGTAACCACATCACAACAAAAATACAAACGATTGCTATGAACATCTTTGTGAGGCGTACTTGTTTTTCTGCCCGCTTGTCCGATCGAACACTCCTTGTGCGAAAAGAGGCCGATTTCATGACTCTAAAAATTTTGACATAATTGAACGAAATGACAACGAGAGGGAGAATAAAAAATAAACACACCATGCATCCGAGATAAACATTGACGTGGAAAGATTCTGGCCATGATAAACCACAGAATGTGTTTGTTACATTGTTGATTCTGAGGGTCATCTCCGTTTGAGCAATGGCGACCGGAACTGGATAAACGACAGACAATATCCATATGATGACAATTAGGACTATAGAAACATTAAGTGTAATTCTTTTGTCTGGACGAGCGCAGACATAATTGTGTCTCTCTATGCTGATTATCATCATGGTCAAAATAGAACTGGTCCCACACACAAATTGAATGTATGTCACCATCTTACAAATTGCGTGACCAAACACCCACTGATGGGTAATGCGAGTTATACAGATAAATGGAATCCAAGCTGCAAACAGCAAATCAGCAACAGCGAGATTCACGATGAAATAATTTGTTGGCCGTCGCATCTTCTTATTTCTAAAAACCGCCAACACCACCTAAATTAAATAAAATCATTTTTCATAAGTGTGTTCGATGACATTTTCGTAAGTTTAATCCCTATAGAAATATATGAAAATTACCATTGTGTTGCCAACCACTGCCATAATGAGGATGATGATGAGAATTGTCGCCTCTATTCCGGATTGACCTAAATTAAATAAACAGACAATCTGAAACAACATATGATTAGAGTTTCAAACGTTTAATAATACATATTCCTAAAAGATGGCCGTAAATTTTTATATAAAACTTGCATTATATATAACAAAATAAAATATAGATATATGAATCGTTCCGGAGATGTAACCGTATATTTACATTTTTTTTAATTGTTAAAAACCTGTACATTTGTTTGAAAAAAAACTTTGTTAAACGCATGTATTCGTTTTTAGTGTGTTTGTTTTTAAATGAGTGTTGCTGAATTGATATATATCTATTGTTAAATGGGTCTAAATCCTCAATCAATCGATCTTGTAGGAACTGGAGGCTAGAATTTGTCTTTAAGATCCATTAAGATAATTTTCTCCCTGAATCTAGAAGTTGAATGAACATTAGTAAAACTCGTCTACCCCTGGAATCCTTGATGTGTATGCTTAACAATCACAACAGATAACCGTCATTCTTGAAAAGTAAAAAATTAAATACTATATATATATTTCCATATGCATACGTACATGTCAAATTGTTTGCCCCTCCCCCATGCACCTTTCAATGGCTGATAATTGAATTATTAGCAGAACTTTGATATAGTTCAGACATCATTACCAGAGCAGAAGTAACATAAACAGATCTTATAGAACTGTCATTCAAAACAAGAGTTGAAAAGCGGAAAGTACATGGAATTATGAGCAAAGTTAATTATATTACTCTTAATAAAAGTCGCTAATACTAAAAACTATAAAGAAAATGGAAATCTAAGACGAATTATATGCCTAAAATTATAAGACTTATGCGCTTTAAATGTATTGAGAAAATGTCGCAGCAGCGGCCCTTCACTCTAAAGGAAGAAGAAGAACTGTTCAATATGTTTCCAAAGGAATTAACTACTCCATTATCCAATGGTTGATATTTTTTATCTGTTAATATTTTCAAATGTGTAGAAATTCATTGTATCTTAAGTGTGTAGGTTTGATATGTCCTTAAAGTCGAGACTTGTACTGGGTCAGAATTGCGTGATTCTTTAAAGTGATAGATTTTGAGAAGTGTCAAACTTTCCCTAATCCCTTTGTTTTACGCGATGAATTTATAATCCTATCATAAAGAGAGTATGACAAAGTCGTGTTAAAGATCCAACCCCCACCTCCAATCCCCACCCCGTAAGTCAATTTTTATTATCGTCCTCTTTTCAAACTTCTAGATGCGTACCTGGTTAAAAATGACTAGAATCAAGAGATTTCTCTATTCTTACATTGCAATTACTTGTGATAAGTAACAATTTCTACAGTTTCTGAGCTACCAACCGAATGTTCGGTCTTATCTTCCAGTAGTCAATGTTGGTGAATTTATAATGTCCTCCCCCAACCCCCCAAAAAATTATATTTTAAAAATATACATGCATGCAGTTTTAACTCATGTTGTATAATTTCCAACAAGACTAGTGATGTACACTTTTCATTTTTTTTTTATTATGCGTTTCCTTTGGTGAAATATCTGGTTGAAATACATGTATACATTGTAAGCTGCTTTATCTATTGACAACAGCCATGCATTGATTAGCTTTTATTCATGATGTACCTCCGTTCTTCCTTCTGAAAGATCTCTGTGTATTTGAAATCTCCGATTGCACTTAATATTTACAATCAGATACCAAGATTTCTGTAAGTGAAAATGGGCAGACAAGAAGATTCACTCTTTCTGTGTAAACAATTACAAAATGGCTTGTATCAAAGAGGAATCATGAAAGTGCAAACGGTAGAAACCGAGGGGCCAAATGATCATGTTATAATTAAATTCTCTTTAGGATTGAAATACGTTAGCTGGATTTCAATAAAACAACATACTAAGAAAACATAAAAAGAACTTTCATACGATTTTAATATTGCAGTTATATTGGAGAAAATGTCTGCAAGATATGAAACAGAACACCGTATTTACTTGGTGAATTAACCCCCCTTTTTCGATTTTTTTTTTCGTATAGGCCTAAATCAATATACGTAGTATTTGGTCCCAATATAAGTGAAAGGTTCTCCAGGGGACGTTAAGCAAAAAAAAAAAAAAAAAACAACAACAACAACAACCAAACAAACAAAACAAAATAACAAAACAAAAAAAACTAAACAAAACAAAAAAAAAACAACAAAAAATAAAAAAATAAGAAACAAAACACACACACACACACACACACACAACAGCAACAAACAAACAAAACAAAGTATTTACAACAAAGAATACTGTAAAAATCACAACCTTTAGTTCAACTGTTTTGCACTTTATAACCACTGATTGATTGATTGATTGATTGATTGATTAAATAGAGCCGTGGTGTTATGAGACATTATAAAGTTTGAAATTATTAGGCGACAGATGATATCAGGGTAATATATAGTGCTAAATTTGACTCATTGTTGTAAAATAACGTGGACTGTACAAGCACTGGTGAGGTACTTATAACAGGAAAGCCGTGGACTCTTCGTCATTGATATTATATGCAATAGTGACTATAACTTTTGGACGGTTAAGTCGTTCATTCTGATCCTTTTTCTTCATTTATTGCTATTATGACGTCCGTATAATGAAATCATTGTAGTAAACAAATGTATCCCATACTTAATAATCATAGGTAAACAAATTTTAACTTTAAAATTCATTTATTTTATTTTATTTTATCATAATCATTACCATCATCATTTTTATACGTCTATTTTGTCCTTTCTTTTTACTATTCACTTAATGAAAATATGCTAAAAAAAAAAAAACCCAAACACAAAATAAATGTATTAAATCAGTAATTCCTATGAAAAAATAAAAATTTGTGTACAAGATGAAACAATACAATATCATTTAATAAAAAAATCTTGATTTATAAGATAATTTGGAAAACTAAACGTTACAAAAAAGACAAGTTACTAAAAGAAATAGAGTAATTACTAAGTTTCTTACCTGACCAAGTTTGGTTGAATTCCGAAAAAAAGGTAAAAACAGATTCATTGGTCTCCGGATCCTTGAAAGCGTAACCCATGTTAAGTGATTATTTCGTGTCAAAAACCTTTCTCTTTCGAAAATATTCGAACTTCACCAAAATGCTTCAAGAATTGAACGTTGTGTCGGACGCGTCATATTTTCTGCGACTAGCCGTTCGCTATTGGTAAAGCGGTAATTGGGATATAACGCTATACGAGTGCAAGCTAATCACATTTCGATCAAATAATCTATTGATTTTAGAGTATGAATGTATTACAAATACTGGCTAAGGCTTTGTCACTTTAGCTAATAAAATAAAGGTTTATGACATTGATATGAAATCCTAAAGTCATATGTATGCTTAGTGTAAATAAATCTTCTTTCATGTTCTGATGGATTATTATTCAGGGAATTACTTCTCATCCATTTCTCAGTGTGACATTTTTTCCCATGTCTTTTCTAATTTATTTTTTGTAAATTATTTTTTTTATGCAAATCTCTCTCTCGATCCCTCTTTTAAAATTACCCACCTCCAACACACACACAATAGGGGTTTCGGCCCTTTGGCAGTTTTCCTTTTACTAGTCGTATAATACGAACATTTTGTAGGACATGTTTCATGACTGATTTTGACGACCCCACCCCTCTTCCTTAAAAATACCATTAAGTGAAATACAGGCCCGTAGTGCGCTGGGGGGGGGGTCTTTGGGGATACGTTTCATACTTTGTCCGGTTGCCCCTTCTCTCTCTCTCTTTTTACATGGTAGTATGTGGATAGCCTCTCACATTATTGAGCTGAAAATTTTTACCCCACCCTCCCAGCTTACGATTAAAATAAAATGAGGTTTTGTGAAACAGTTTATTTCTTGGGGGAGGGGGTCAAAGTTTTTATTTTATGTGGCTTGTACCCCACTTTGAAAACAAGAGGCTCATGGGCCACAGCGCTCACCTGAGTAACTTTGGCCTTGCTGTTTTTCACCTGATTTCTCTCACCCCCTCCCCCCGTAGTACTTATTGTGCCCCGCCCCACCCCCAGGGGTCATGATTTGAACAATAAGAATCTACACTACCCAAGGATGCTTCCACATAAGTTTCAGCCTTTCTGGCCCAGTGGTTCTTGAGAAGAAGATTTTTAAAGATTTTTACTACATATTTCAATGTAAAACTTGGATTCCCTATTGTGGCCCCGCCCTACCCACGGGGGTCATGATTTGAACAATTAGAATCTACACTACCCCAGAATGCTTCCACATAAGTTTCAGGTTCTTTGGCCCATTGGTTCTTGAGAAGAAGATTTTTACTATATATTTCAATGTAAAACTTGGATTCCCTATTGTGGCCCCGCCCTACCCCCGGGGGCCATGATTTGAACAATTTAGAATCTACACTACCCCAGGATGTTTCCACATAAATTTCAGCCTTTCTGGCCCAGTGGTTCTTGAGAAGAAGATTTTTAAAGATTTTTACTACATATTTCAATGTAAAACTTGGATTCCCTATTGTGCCCCCCCCCTTACCCCCGGGGGTCATGATTTGAACAGTTTAGAATCTACACTACCCAAGGATGCTTCCACAAAAGTTTCAGCCTTTCTGGCCCAGTGGTTCTTGAGAAGAAGATTTTTAAAGATTTTTACTACATATTTCAATGTAAAACTTGGATTCCCTATTGTGGCCCCGCCCTACCCCCGGGGGCCATGATTTGAACATTTAGAATCTACACTACCCCAGGATGTTTCCACATAAATTTCAGCCTTTCTGGCCCAGTGGTTCTTGAGAAGAAGATTTTTAAAGATTTTTACTACATATTTCAATGTAAAACTTGGATTCCCTATTGTGGCCCCGCCCTACCCCCGGGGGCCATGATTTGAACAATTTAGAATCTACACTACCCCAGGATGTTTCCACATAAGTTTCAGCCTTTCTGGTCCAGTGGTTCTTGAGAAGAAGATTTTTTAATGACCCCACCCAATTTTTGTATTATCTTGATTATCTCCCCTTTGATGGGGACTTGGCCCTTCATTTTTAAAATTTAAACTCCCCTTCACCCAAGGATGCTTTGTACCAAGTTTAGTTAAAATTGGCCCAGTGGTTCTTAAGAAGAAGTCAAAAATGTAAAAAGTTTACAGACGGACGGACGGACGGACGACGGATCAGAAAAGCTCACTTGAGCTTTAAGCTCAGGTGAGCTAAAAAGTAGCTACGGGGCTGGAAAATGTATGTATTGTTAAATCATCGAAAGTAAGAAGATGGGCGTGTTTGGCGTGTGATTTGCAGGAATAAGGCGTACGGCGAAACATTTATAGTTAAAATGTCTACGATTTGGTCGGCTGACCACAGCTGGGCATACTTTACAAAGTTACGCACTTGGAAATATGTTACATTTAGTTTGAAATACTTTGTCAAATTTAATATATCAGTCCGCTCATCTTAATAATTACATGTAAAACTTAGTAACGCTTCACATAATTAATAAAGGGCATATTTAAATACAATTACAAGTACATGCATATATATACTTTAATATATATTAAAGTATCAGTAGGTTGGAAGAATTGATTTCGCTTTCGGTGCAACAGAACCAGAATTTATCTATTTGAAAATAAATCAGTTCATAAAATTAAACTGACAAAAGAATTGATTGTTTGTACTACAAAAAATATTAACGCTCTATGCGAGGATCGAACCAAAAATATTTCTTTTTCATTGCACTGGACGGGTAACGCATACTACTGAGCTATCACCGCTACAACACTTTATGGTTTTTAAAGCGACAATGAAGCACCGCATTTACACACTGGAATTTTTTTTGGGAAAAATTCATTTTTTATCGTCTCTGGGTCTTCTCTCCATTTTTTACAAATGTTTGTTAGTTTCCTTGAATTAAAATGCACACAAATAACGTTTCAAAATCATGGAGAGATGACCCAGAAATAGCAAATTTTTAGAAAAACGTGTTTAAAAATGTAACATTTTGTACCAAATGACTCATCTAGCCAATTTTCAAGTTCTTTTTTTAGCAAATCAAAATACAATATTGGGAAAATGTTTCCCTTTCCTATTTCACAGACACTCGATACATGAAAAGAATGCTAAAATTTCATGTGACAGATCAAAGAAATTTTCACTTTTCAAGTGCGCCCAGATTCCTGCCGAATGCCAATCAAAGGTGCCCTCGTTCTTTGTGAATTTGTGTACATTTACACGCGAATTCAATACTATAAAATAAGAACTTACATATCAATAATCCTGAACTTGATCTTTTCTAACAAGTCACCCCAAATACAGAGCAAGCGCAATCAATTCTTCGATTTGTGTCAATTTGTTTGAGGTATGTTTGTCCAGATCTTAAAAATCTCTTAATTAACCCAAACGGTTCAACTGAATCAATTTCTCATTAGTTTACAATGTAATATATGCACAGTACCCTTGTAATCCACAACCCAAATTAGTACTAACATTCTTATTGACGTGGTTCACTTACGTATGAGAGATTTTTTATTATTTTCATATTAACTTTTCTTTCAGCAGTCTTATTGCTTAAGCAATTCAAAATGGGTCAACCAAGCTAGAAGCCCATGGCCACATCGCTCACTAAGTATCCTTGCCCTCAGAAGATTTTTTAAAAATATTTTTCCTATTAGCCCCATAAAAAAATTGAATATTTTTCAATTTGCATTACCTGAAGATGCCTTCACAGGCCCGTAAAAAATGGGAAAGGGTGGAGGGCAATAATATTGCCAGTATAATAGTATATTGTACATTAGGAAATGAAGCTAACTTACCATTGTGCCCCTCCCAAAATATTGCTTGATGACCTTTTTTCTTTGCTTGTCAAGGAATTTTTGTAAGGTTTGTGCCCCCCCCCCCCCTTTCAAAAATAAAACTGCTTCTTACAGGCCTGCTGCAGATTACCAGTAATATAAATGTATAACTATGTCCCTGGTGTTCTTGAGGAGATTTTTAAGATTTTTTCCCTATATATCCCCATGCAAAAACTTTGATCCCTTACTGTAGCCCCACTCTGAATTGGTGTTGCATCAACTGAATTGACAAGAGCAGTGATCCACCTTCTGCTGACTGCTTTCTGTGACAAATAAAGCAGAAGACAGGAAATGCTTTGCTTTTCACATCAAGTTCTTGTCTGATGAAAAAAAAAAAAACATTTGAGATTTTTCGTTTTTCACATATCGCACAGAAACTTTGCATTAATTTGATCCTTGAATCAAAGATCAAATTAATGCAAGTACATGTATCTGCCATATTCCAGTCTTTCAACTGTAGATCCTGGATGATACCCAGTACTTTACATGATCAAGATTATCAAGCTAGAAACAGTTTTATGTTTATTCACAATGATTTTAAAATTCCACATTTCAATGAGAGCAACAGTTTATCTCTTCATTCATATCTACTTCATTACCTTCAATGAATTTCTATGGCAATTGCATGATTCTAATAATAGTCATACTTAGTAGGAATCCATGTGTATTTATCATATTAGGTCTTGTTACAATTGGAAAATACAACTACCCAGAACATCACTCAACAATGAATGGCTAATTTTGTGAATCAATAACAATAAAATACTGCTGAACTGTTCTTTTGTACCTAAAAAGTATGCAAAATCAAAGCTATATATAATATACATATATATAATTAATATACTGGTATAACTTATAAACACTAGAAGACATGAAGTCTGGTTAACAAAATATCAACAGAGAAGATTCCCAAAAGCCATAAAATGATTTCCACATCTTTCCCAAGCAAAAGTATTAAAAGGGAGATAACTTCCGTTTCTTTAAACAAAAAAGAAGAAAAGATTCTGCAGTTTTCTAAAATGAAAATATTTCATAAATTAAATGAACAAAGTTCAGTCACAATGGTTTTTTCATGGCATTTCAACAGTGCTTTTGGTTGTCTTTCTGCAAAGTAATAAAAGAGAGATTCAAAATTCTGACCCCCCCCCCCAAAAAAAATCATTCACTAGGATCATCTATACAAACTCTTTCTGTACCCTACAGAGCATTACATACATTCATGCAATTGTAACAAGAAAGGAAATATCCTTGTATGTAAGCAACTCCAAAAATAAATTTGAAATCATCAGCACTTTTTCCCCTCTTTGCTTAGATTTACCAATTCAGCAAACTGGCCCAAAAAATGTATTTGAATTGGACTCTAATACAAAGTAAAAATGTGATTAAACTATTATGAGCAAAAACAATTCAAATATATTCGTGATAATCATAGAAGTTACATGAAGCAAACGAGACAAATTTCTGACAAAGATTTATATATATCACAGTATATGCACAAATAATTCCAGATGACCATGTACATATGTCTGTATACCGGTAATTAGAATACCTGAAAAAAAATATATAAGTAACAAACAATGATCAAGACAAAACTTTCAAAAATACAACATTACATAATGGTAAAAAAAATTTCAAAAATACACCAAATAGTAAATCCTTTCCACTCTGAAAAATGTAATAATGGCACACATATTAAAACCCTCCTGGGGCCCATGCATTAACATCCTTGTTTGCTACTTTGATTTGTGATGTTGTACTCCAATTCTGAATTTTCTGAAACAGAGACTCTGCTTTTCTGCTGTTAATCTTACTGTCATTATGGTCAAAAGAATGGGATTCCATGAATTTATTTCTTTCACTGAAACCTGTTTGTTTCCGACTTCCAGTAGACACTTCATGAAGATCGCGCTCAATTAGTGAGTTCAGGTCAGAGCTATGAAATGCATCATCCTCCATCTTGCTGTTGTATACACTGTCTAGCTGTTGTAGGGAGCCCGCTCGCCTTGGTAGTTTTGGAGACCCATGAGGTGTGGGAGGAAGTGATGCGGACGAGGATGAAGTAGAGGCTGTCCTTTCACGGAAAGTATCGTACAATCCCTGTATATCTGTTAGTGAATTTGATTTCTTTAGGGGAGAGGTTTCTAATTTTCCTGAGTCAAAATATCTATTTACCTCACTGGAGTTAAGTAAATCTGTGAGGTTAGAAAGTTTGGCACCAGTTAATTGTTGTCTTGTAACCTCAGCAGAGAGGCTACTCCCGGGCTTAGTTTTATGTTTGGTGCCTACTGTGGGTGTCACAGGTGAGACTTCATTCACTAATGGTGGAGCTGGTGCTACAGGTATTGTTGGTTCAGTTGAACCTGAACAAAAAAACAAACAAAAATACTAGAGACATTGAAGATACACACAACACTTATGGAATGTTTTTCTATATCGTTCAGCCCTGGTCAACAATGAACAAGATAGGTTAAGATCCCTTTTTGGCCCACAATTTGTGGTGTCTCCAAGAATGAGGAAATAGTTCATAATCAAACCTAATTCCAAACTAGTATTGATTTTAAGTGATAGGATACACAGAGATCACTAGAAGGACACAAAATATCTCAATTTCAGATTTTTTTCAGTTTTATTCAAATTTATATCAATTTTATGGCTCATTTTGACTGTGAAAACACAGAGTGCAAGTTTTCCTATTTACCAAATTTACATATTTCATGCACAAATATGAAATAAATCTTGTGTAAGAAAACCGATGATAGGCAAGCTTGCACTCTTCCAGAAGAATAAATATCTCAAACATAATCAAATTCCATCAGAATTGAGGAAAATTAGTAAAATGGTCCAATTTATCACCCTCTTGTGGCCTTCAAGTGCACTTAGAATTAAAATACATGTAAATGCTGGTTTTAATACAACCATTATTCAATGTTATTAATTGAAAATTATCACAATTCTAACTGCATTTTGGTATCAAATATCAAATTCAATTGTTACATTACCTCTTCCTTTTAAGGTCCAGCTAACTACCACAATAGCTAACATGCAGCAAAGTTTTAAGCATGCATGTGCTAACTGCCCAAAAGTGACAATTTTCCATCCCTTATCTACATTATCACTCTTTTACGTCAAAATACTGACAAATTCATATATTACACTTTCTACAGGGAGATAAATGTTATCCCTTCCTGTCTTCATGAATCACAACTACTGATCATGTAAAACTAAAAACACCCTTTATCAACTGAACAAGAACAAAACCATTGAATGAGAAATGCAAATCATGCTATATTTATCATATCAATTTACAGAATGCCTCTAAGTATAACAAAACATGCATAAACAAATTAAACAATAAACTTATTCCTTCCATGCTGAAAAGTTTTTGTTTCTTTACTGTTTTTTTTCTTTCAATTATTATTATAAACGCTACTTTTTAAAATATTGATAGGATTTCATATTAATATGTTAATTTTTCCTTCCTTCACATTTATCCATTGCATGCATAATTAATCTCATTAACATACTGAAAGTTTCATGCACAGTAGATGTTCTAAAGGGAGCAAATAGACTTATAAAAAAATTACTAGTAAGAATAAAATAATATAAATCTTCCTTATTTACTATCACCAAACTTTCAAAATAATAATATCAAAGGCCTAAAAGTCTTAATTCAATATCTTTCATACAAAAACACTATACCTGCTATAATGCTGTAATGTTGTCCAATACTATAAATTTTACAAATATGATCTACCAAGCACTACCTTTTCTATTTATCACAATAATACAGTTTGTTGACATATTTTAAAACTGGATTCACCTTGCATCATGAGTCTAGAATATAACTATAGAAAGAACGTAGAAAACATGTATAAACAACTGTGCACCGCATAATCATAGGCTCAGAGCTAGAATGAGGACAATGTCAAGGCCACTCAATATTCTGCGTAGTTAAATAGCTGGTAGAATTTTTTTTAAAAAGCTTTCCTGTTTGGTTTGCTGTCTGTTTATTTTTAATGAGAGATAAAAAATTATGTTATTTATGTCACTCTCTGTTCTAAAGATTAAAAAAAGGCATTAAATTTATAAACAGGAATTGAATTGGGGTTCCTGAAATGAACAATAAGCATGAACAGTGATAAGTATAATGTATTGTTTACTTTAATTATGAAAAAATAAATATAAAATCCAACACTACATGAACTAGGCAATAAAGGGGGGGGGGGGGGGGGAGGGTTTAGTTTCACTTAAAAACTAAAGGAAATTTCAAGAAGCACTAGTGCTTGATGCAGTGAAGTACATTGTACACAATTGTGACAATTCCATAATTATAATGTGTTTCCACAAAAACACTAAAAATATAACAAAGCAGATAAAAACCAGTTCTAGGTAATTAAGTACTATGTGTACTAGCATTTCTTTTACTACTAATACAAAAACAATGTAGCACTGGGTTGTTGAAGCAAAATCTGCAAGCAACTGGTTCTTTTGTTTTTTTCTAGAGATATATCACTGTTGTACTTAAACCAGTATTACAGCAACATCTTGCAAATAGCAAATAAAAGTTTGCATGCTTGCATATATTTGTGTTTGCAACATATGTCTCTAGCATCATGCACATTCAGGTTCATGTATTATGATAATCATATATTCAGAATTTATAGCACTTTAGAATTGAAAATTCTGTCATTTATTGACATGAAAAATGTGAGGGCAAATGCAAGAGAAAAAAAATGAATCCATCAACTCATGCTTACCATTTATACTGACTTTAGAATCCTCGTCTTCGTTTGTTTCAGGAATTATGGGTGAATTATAGAAGTTGAAATAGTTCCAATGGTACTTGTTTTTTCTCTTTGACCCCTCACTGTTTTGGTGGTCAGAGGACGATACTAGTTGAGTTGTGGAGTGAGATGCTGTAGACTGTCCAATAGATGTGGCTGTATTGGTTGAGGAATGGGATGTTAGTTTTTCATCAAATGTCATAAAACTGGAGTTGGATGAATCCAGGAAGTGGCCATCACAGTCCAAAGAATGTGGGTCCTGCATTGCAAAATACTCTAATGTGGTTTCGTTTTCTTCACAGAATTGATCCAATTCCTGTAAAAACAATGAATCATATAAATTTTGTATATTATATATCATGTGTATGAATTATACTGAACTTTACACTATTTAAATAATTGAGAAGTTCAGAACAAATTTAAGAAACACAATTTCTTAATAAATGTATTTAATATCTTTTGCCTGATACACTTAGAGGTATTCTATACAATTACATGTGTAAAAAAAAAAATCTGAATTTTCATTTAGATTGCCCAAACTGCCTCCTTTAATTTTCTAATACTACAGGTCTGTCCTGGATGAGATGTATTGGTATGCAAAATGACAATAAATGCCAATTCATCAAAATATATATACAAAATACATATAAATGATATGGCATCACCACTCACAAAACTTTAACTTCAAACAACTCAAGACCATACAGACCTCTTAGGAGGGGGTCTATGACAACTCAATAAAAGACAATTAACTGATCAAAATTTTTCATTAACAAACCATTTCATGGATAAGACAACTCATCTGTTTGACATCTCATTTTGTGGACAAGTTCAGGACAACTCATGTATACAAGGTATGACACTTCATTGACACTTATCCAAAAAATAAATAAATAAATGAATGAATAGTTATCTAGATAATATTTCATTACATTCATATTATTTTTCTCCAATTTTTCAAATAAAATTCAATAGAAAAAAAATCTAACAGGCAGCAATATATGATATTAACAGCTTTCCCAAATCCCAAAATCAACTCAGGATGCATAAACATTACAAATTAAGTTCATTCAATTCTCTCTCCTTTTTTCCTTGAGGGGCTTTAACATAAGTTTATCTAGGTTTTCTAACTTTACTTGCGAGCAAGCAATACATCATAGGAATAATTCTTCCTAACTAAGGTACATGTACTGTGTACAACTGATAGAATTATGGAGGCACTGCATCAAAGGTACTGTTGTCCCAGCACACTGATAATTAAAGTACAGCAAAAGAATCTGAATTGTTTTTTTTCAAAACAAGTAGAATGGTTGAGTAGTCATTGGCCTGAACTTAGTTATAGCTAATAGCTAGCTTAAAGTATAAGAAGAATTTTACTTTTTATCAGATGATATGTTAGTAGATGCTTTGTTTCTGCTGATGAGATTAAGTTGTCTTTTAATGAGTTGTGAGGTAATATTCTATTTTATGTAAAAAAAAAAAAAAAAAAAAAAAATTAGTGCAGAATGAAAATTTGGGTGTTTTTTTTCACCTGCTAGAAATCATTTACAATTCACATAATCTGTTATTTTGACTGTGAGAGTAACTTATTACTTCCAATGCAAAGATGACCCTATTCTTTAAACATCCCCCTAATTTTCCATGATTTTTGGTTGAATAATAGAATTCTTCAAGACAATCACAATCAAGACAAACATGAAGATCAATTTTTAAAACTTGTATAATATCATACATATCAGGCATTTGGAATCAAGGAAACATTCATATCAAATCCATCAATATTTAGCTGGTACACCTCTTGAATCTAAAGATTGACATGATTTATGAAAGGACTTCTACTCCCCCCCCCCCCCCCCCCCAAAAAAAAAAGACAATAATGAACTGAAATCTTTATAGTACACAAATCTGTTTACATGACTTATTATTATACCAAGGGTGAAATGAAAAAGTTATAGTGTGGGTTAACAGAACATAATGCTGAGTAAAAAGTAATTATTCCATGGGTTAAGCATAAACAACAGAACCAAAATGATGCCCCTCTGCCACTTAAACGTCATTATTAATTAAAAAAGACCTCAACAAATTGCTTACCTTTGTTTGACTATACAGGTGAATGGGTTTCTTTCTAAGTTGAGTACAATGATTATAATCAATTAAAAAATACTTTCAGCCTTTTAAGTCTACCAAAACCAAGGAGAGAAATATCAAGAGGCTATATGAAGAATACAGTAACACATGTGGCAGGACATCCAAAAGTCACCATTACCTTCACTATACAAAACAGCTGATCTATACGTCTGGGGGTCCACGGCGGGGGGAAGCACTCAATAATTCCTCTCATTTCTCAAAAGATCTACTGTCAGAATTTATTCTCGACATTTACTTTGAAGTATACGCAGCAAAAGATAGAAACATTCTTGTCGATATACTGGGACTTTGAATCTAACAAGAATAAATGATTTGATGTCTAAAATACTGACCTTTTAATCCTCTCCAGTCCACATAAACAAGTTGAAGGTCAAGTTACTAGGCTTAGTTCGCGGTCTTGTGCGCACTCCCCTCGGTCATTTTGATAATACCCTGAACAATGAGTGAAGTCGAGGCTTGGAAGTTAATTAACATGAACTAAAAAATATTTACCTTAATTAATATGAGTTTGATCCATTTAAAAATCCAGAAAACAGCAGTGACGAATATTTCATCATCTGAACCTAACCACCATGTTGCTTTTGCTAAATCAGCTGTGGTTCACCTAAATCGTAAATGCAGTCGCAGCAGTGAACGCAAAGTCATTAACCCCGAACCCGAGCTATTTTGTGTTAATACTGTTTCGCACAAGGTGTTTTTTTTTTTGGGGGGGGGGGTGTTATTGATTCCCTTCAAATGATGCAAATAAATTCAGTTACATAACTCACTTTCATCTTAATCATTTATGTCTTTGAAACATTGATGCACATGTAACTAGACATGTATTTATATTTTTTAAATTCAAAATAATAATATAGCAAACGTAATGCCCGCAGTATCACATAGCAAAATGTGGCCTAACAAATAGTTCAAGACTCAAAATAAAACGTAATCGTAGATAAAAATTGTGTCATTAAAAGTAATCAACTGGATAACATTAACTGGACGGGGTGTTATCATTATTTTACACAATCATATTTTCAAAATTATCAATATTGTGTCTATAAGAGTGGTGTTTCACTGTTAAATAGACAAATGGAATCAAATACTGCACTTGCTGTTGATAACCAGGCCCGTATGAAGCAATTTCAGTTGGGGGGGGGGGGGCACAGCCATACATTTTCAGTTGGGGGGCACTAGCTATCAACTACCAAAATTCCTTGACAAGCAACAGAAAAAAAGGTCATCAGATGTTTTTATTGAGGCCCCCCTCCCATGTCCCCCGGTTCATACGGCCATGATAACAGTTTTAACTGTCTTTTACAGTGTTCCGACCCCTTAAAAATTAAGCAAAATAATAAATTTTTGCATGAATAAACAATTTGCTATCTTAAGAATAAAATTTGTCCATGGGTCTTATCTTAATTCTAGAAGTTCAATAAAGACTTCTTCAATGGACAAATATTTATCACATACTTATTGACCTCAACATAGGGTCCTCGTCCAGGCGTATATAAACTTAATCCAGGTCAAGGTCCTGTATTCATGTATATATGTTCTTGTATACAAGGGTACAGGTCTTACAAAAAGAAATTTAAAATCCATGCATACGAAGTAAATACTTTTAATTAATCTTACCTGCAGTATACATGTACATGCATTTTATTACATGTAATATTCACCACTTCTTCAACAGGACCTGTTCAATATTAGCTCCTTCGTGCTTCTTCACATCGAGCAAATTTCTTAAGTGCCATTAATTAAAATTTCGATTTTCAAATGAATGTTATTTTCCCAATTTCTAGCTGCTCACCTTTAGAAGCTGAAAACTTAACTAAGTTTTTTTTTCGGCGTCCGTCTGTCTGTCTAGCCGTCCATTTTTGACATCTTTTCCTAAACCATGCACAGGGCCAAATTTAGCCCAAAATTTCCACAAAACATCCTTAGGTATTACAGTTGTAAGCCTGCTTAAAGGGCATTTACACTATAATTACGTTTCTTTAAATGAAGAACAACATCCTCTTTCCAGGGGAGATTATTAAATTTTTTTGTTTGGCTTGTCAACTTTTTGCCCCCCACCCCAAAGCATTGAAAATCCTTATCTCGGTGGAGATTCGGCTCCTTTAGATATTTGATCTGACCAAATATCTAAAAGAGCCGAATCTCCACCGAAATTAAATGGCCCTCAGTGCCGAGTAAAGGCCCTTCACCGGTATATGGTGACGTCTCTATTCGAGCGAAAAATTATCAAATGGGACGTAAAACAACGTACAATCAATCAATTTCTTTGTGGGGAGCGAAGTGGACCGAAAACTCTTGGCTTGAGAAGATGAAATATGTTTCGAAGCAATCGATTTAATTGTGAATAGCATGAGAAACCGTTCTGATCAACCAAGCTCCAGACAGCTCAGTATTACGTTACGCTACAACTCCATTATTCGTAGGGAAAGTAGTCTGGGAGAATTGACACTGTATGGAGTATGTCTGATCAACTAGGTCAGTAGCTCACTAAAATTGCAACGGACTATCACTTTTTTTCCGGACGTGATAATTAAAAATTTGTAATTAGAAATTAAAAAATTAAAGTAGAAAAAAAATGTTAATTTGAAATTTAAAAAAAAATATTAATACTTGATTTTATAAAATAATAATAATTTGTAATAACAAATCGATAATTTGTAATTTAAAATGACTTATAGTGTAAAATACAGATTTCAGATTTCAAAATGATTTTATCTATATATGTACTGTAGCATGGAAAGAAATGAAATGAGAATTTCTATAGCATAGATGGACTTCAAGGATTATCCATACACTGCACATTAATCCGTGGTATTTTTATGCAGTAAGTGTGATTTTTCCTTGGATATAAAATAATTTAAAATCTATAATTTAAAGTAAATTCAAGCATTTTTAGGATTTTATTTCCAAGATAAATTAACTGAACACCTTATTTGCACGTTTTCCACAACAATTTTTTCTGTTCATACTTCGTTATCTATATGAACATTTCTTTCCTTTGGGGATAAATGACTTGCAAGATACATAATGTGAATATATGAAGTAGATGAATTTAGCATTCTGTCTCTATTCACATTTTTATTCAATAAGTAATTTTCTTATTGTCCTAAAAATGTATTTGAAAATAAGCATCATGAAGAATTCAGAGACAGGTCCAGCACTGAATTTCGAATAGGAAAAGGGGGAAGGGGTCCAGACAAAGGAACTAGAAACGTTGTGAATCATATCTACTCAATAAAAAGTTCATACTGAATCATAGATAGAAAATATAAGATATTTATTTATAACATTGTAATATATATATCAGAGAAACCACACAGATGTTCGAAGAAAGGGGATTCCAACTTCCGGAACCCCTCTCTTTATCCACTATGGAGGATAGTATTAATTAAACATGAAAACACAACAAACACCCGCATTTATCTATAAATTAGTATTTCACAATAACAGATTACCAATTTGACATAAACCATTTTAAGTTAATCGTCATAATATGAAATAACAAATAGACAATTTGTTATAACAATTCAATTTGTTCTTTTAAAAATGGATTGCATTTGTAATTTCAAAGTGATAATTTGTAAATACGTAAATTTAAATTGATTATGTGTAATTTCAAATCGATATTCTGTGTAATTTCAAATGGATAATGTGTAATTTCAAATGGATAATTTGTAATTTTAAATGGATAATTTGTAATTTTAAATGAATAATTTGTAATTTTAAAGCGATAATTTTTAATTTTAAAATGATAATTTATAATTTCAAAATGATAATTTGTTATTTCAAAATGATAATTTGTTATTTCAAATTGACAATTTGTTATTTCAAATTGACAATCTTTTATTTCAAATTGACAATTTGTAATTTCAAATGTAAAATTGATAATTTGTAATTTAAAATTGATAATTTGCAACTTAAAATTGATAATTTGTTGTGAATTCAATTTGCTAATTTGCAATTGTAAGAACTTAAAAAAAGGCACTGGTTTGGCCCTTAGAAGATTCCGTAGATGCAAGTAAGGACTTTTTGGATTTTAGTCTGAACAGCCAATACTAAAGAACTTCCGGTAGAGGTGGGAAATTCAATTTCATCAGTTTATATGCAAGACACGAGCAGAACAGAGGCGTTGTTGTCTTATTTACTATGTTTATTGTGATTTACAGATATTGTCACTTAAAGGAAAACTGTAATTTTGCTTAGTAATAATTTTCCAAGAAAATGTTTCCATTAAATGCACTTTAATCCGAGATTCCTCTTACTCTAATAGGTTGGGACCAATCACCCAAATGGGATATAATATCCCATTTGGGATATAAATTTACAAAGCAAAATATGAAAAATTTTATCTTGGCTATAAATATCATAAATCCGCATCAAGATACTTATAAACAGGTCCAGGAAAATCACTATATTTAGCTATATAGCTTAATTTACCTATATAGCTTTATTTACCTATATAAGATAGCTTTATTTAGCTATTTTAGAATAAGTTTCTGTTTTATGAAAAGCAAACAAAAAGTCGCATGAAAATTATGGCTGATATTTTTTTAAAAAGGTTTGATAAAAACAACCTAGGGCATAGATAGTAAAAACATTGCCTCTTTTAAATACTTTTTAACCAAAAAATGCATCTCTATTGTTTGGATAGCTGTCCATTACTGGAAGTGTGATGAGGCATGACTAAGTGTGATTGCCTTGCATTGTGCTGAATTATTACCAATCAATTATCTTGTTGACCAAAACTGCTTTTCTTTGTTAAAGTAGCTGCTTATTCACAGATTAACTGTTATACATAGCCCCAAAACTTTTAGATCTTTGATTGCAATTGCACAAAAGGAGAAACATTTTTAAAAGTGGGTTTTTGGTGAAATGTTTTCAGTCCATTTCAAAGTTGAAAACTAATACTGCCTCATTATGCGACTTTTTGTCTGCTTTTCATAAAACAAAAATTTACTCTGAAATAGCTAAATAAAGCTATATTATATAGGTAAATAAAGCTATATAGGTAGATTTAGCTATATAGCTAAATATAGTGATTTTCTTACTGAAATAGCTAAATAAAGCTATATTATATAGGTAAATAAAGCTATATAGGTAGATTTAGCTATATAGCTAAATATAGTGATTTTCTTAGACCTGATAAATGAGTAACTTTTGGTTAACAAGTTTTTCTGTATGACCACTGTTTAAGAGATTGATCCCTCGGAAGTTCGTAAACTTCTTGGGGATCAATCTAACAGAAAAACTTGCTTGCCAAAAGTTATTCCTTTTAACGTATTTTGATGTGGATTTATAGCCAAAATAAAGATTTTCATTTTTTGGTACTGTAAATTTATATCCCATTTGGGATATTATATCCCAGACGGGTTTTTATATCCCATTTGGGCGATTGTTCCCAACCTGTCTAACCCCTGCTTTTATAATATATTGTGGCATGTCACAATATAAAAGCTGGAGTTAGAGTCGGAGGAATCTCGGATTAAACCTGATTTAGCTATTTTATTACACCTTTTTCTTAAATGTGTTATTTTCTCAGCATGCACAAAAAGTCACACCTTGATGCATAGCTGCAGAACTGTCGCTCTCTGCTTGAGAAAATTTGGACAGGTAAAGCAGAGAGCTACAGATCCAAGCGTTGCAAAAACCCTCGATTTACGCCGCCTCTTTTTTGTCGCTTGCATTGGATAATTTTTTCTTGTATTTTTATGCTTTCCCCGCTTTAAAAATAGTATCCGATAATTATCCATATATTTTCCTAGCATTCTTGATACTTCATTTACCTTTCAACGGTCTCAAACAGCCCTTTATGGTTTTGGAATGTCGGTCGGTTTAAAAATTCCCATTCCAACGTTCTCGTTGGGGGTCGTGCGAAAAAAGTCTTTCAATGAACATATACTTGCTGAGAAAATGTAAATAAAAAAATTAAAGAGGTTCAAATATCATGTATATTGTTTACAAAGAATACAATATGTATGTAAAAAAAGAAATGAGATAACTCAGGCGTGTTATTTTAGGATGACACCAATGTCAACGTCGGAATGCATTTTTCCCCTGACATTCCAAAACCACATACGGCCATCTTGAAACATTGAACGGTAAATAAAGTATCAGGAATAGGAGTAAAATATATGGTTAATTTTTGGATATTATTTTTAAAGTGGAGGAAAGTATTAAATACAAGAAATAATATCCAAAGCGAGCAACAAAAAAGCAGCGGCGTAATTCGAAGGTTTTTACAACGCTTGGATCTGTAGCTCTCTGCTTTGTCTGTCCGAATTTTCTCAAGCAGAGAGCTACAGCTCTGTAGCTACTTGGTGCAGTGATAATATTCAACCTTGAACTCTTCTAAAAATAATGCATTGCATGTAAAAATCAGTCATCAAATTGCGTCTCCTTAAGAGACTTTGTACTCAAAGTTCTAAAAGTTTTGGGGCTATATAAAGCAATTATTACAGCTGTTACTTCTTCAATGAAATTATAAAGGAGGCCAATTATGGTCAACAAGGTAATTGATTGGTAATAATTCAGTACAATGAGAAACAATCACTTATCCTCACAGTGTACAGTTACCCAAACAATGGAAATTCATCTTTTGCTTAAAAGTATTCAAATGCTGCAATGTTAGAACTATCTTTAATTTTGCTTGTTGTCTTGATAGCCCATAGTACATAATCGATAGTCAAATACATGCAACTTTTTGCCTATTTCTACAAAAAACATTTTTCTGAAAAACTGCATATAAGTACCTTTATCAAGCTATATTTTGAATATCTTAATAAAGCTGTTTATTACATTTTCAACAGCTTATGACACTGTGTTACGAAAAGACAGAGGCAAAGGGAAATCTAAGAAAATGTAATAAACAGAAAATTCAGTGTGTCGTAGATGAATATGGAATTTATTTCATTCATGAGATAGGATTTTTTTATATTTGCATTCATGCTTCATACTCGTGAAAATATAAAAAAAATCCTGTCCCACTCATGAAATAAATTCCATATTCATCTATAAAACATTGAATATTCTCTATATAGCTATTTCAAGCTATATAGCTCAAGAGATTGTGCTGGACCTGTATATTACATGTATGTGTACATGTACACTGGACTATAATTAATAATGATTAAAAAAGTATTCCAAATAAGATTTTTTAAACACTGCTGCTTTTGTACAATTTTTATCAAAAGATGTATTTCCATTGTTCAGTTGTTTGGGTAACTGTACACCACCTTGTCAGCTGTGTGTTGGTATGTGAAGTGTGGATAAGAGTGATATAGCCCATGGGTCTCTTCACATTGTGTTGAATGTTATTACAAATCAATTAATTCAATTTGAGTCGTAAAAGTTGTAAAATAAGGGGCTAGTGGGTTGGAAAATCGAAGTTGAAAATATATTCTATCTCGTTTTGGCTGTGTGTAATCCTAACCCGTTAAAAGACATTATAGTGTTTTGAATTCAGTGTGAGTCGTTATGAAATAAGGAGCTAGGGGTATTGAAAATCGAGGTCCTAAATGTATTAGTCAAGTTACTGAAGTGATAATGTGTAATGAAATGAAGATCTTGTAAATGGTGACTGATTGTGATTAAATTTTATAGGTAATGACAGCTCTTTGGCGATGAAGGTCCGAAGGTTTCCTGTGAAGTGATGGATAAGGACTACACATTACTAGGGGTTGTTTTGAAGGGAGATAACTCAAGACAGGAAGATAGGTGCTTGGGAGCCGTTAAAGTCTTCACCTCACAGATAGTCGAAGTAACTTTGGATTGGCTCAAGGATGTCATGAGAAGACAACTTGTTTGTTTTCTGGAAAATCTTCATTTCTGCACAAAAGAAGGGTAATTTACTTATGATAAGTATTTATGATGATATCACAAGTTGAATGAATGAATTTTAGATGACTTAGCAGTGAAAAAATGATTGATTATAACTGATCTTCAGTGGATTACTGGTTTCAGTTAAGATAATAAAAGGCTATTTTTTAAACTCATTTATCCATGGAAATGGTGCAGTAAATAATTATACCTATATGTAATTTTGTTTCACAAGCAAATGTGTGAAAAATTTTTGTTAAAATGAAATGAGAAAACTGAAAAAAAAATCAGTATAGAATATTTTCTAGAGAAGAGTGCAATGTAGATGTGTGTAATAAAACTTCTTATTTGTTTCATAAAATCTAGCTATAACAGGGTTGCAAATAACCACTCGCCCACTGGCAAATGTGAGTAATTTTGCCTGTGGGAAACCAACTCTTGAGGATGTTTTTGCCCATATGGCAAGTAAGAATTTTATTGGACCTTTTCCGGAATAAGAATATTGAAGATGTTTTATGATTTTTAGCAATATGAACTTTGAAAGTTGGTAAAGTACGCTTTCCAAAATTTTAGATAGAAACGTAATTCAAAATACTTGTCTTGAAGTGAATGAAAACACGGAATTTCATACAAGTGGTGTTGAAATCTGCAGGAAAAATTGAAAATAAATACTTTGGACAATAAAGTATTTTTCCCTGAGAATATGATGAGAAAAGATTTTTTTACTAGGTAAACATAAAATTATGGGCCCCAAAACGTCAATGTGGGCTAGTAAAACTTGTAAAGTGGGGGCTCACATGGCCCCCTAGGTTTAAAATGTTATTTGCAACCCTGTATTAGAATCAATTAGAAGTATTCAAAAATTCATTGTTAATAATGAAACAAAATTTAACTTTGTTTAATTATTTATTAGCTCACCTGAGCCAAAGGATAGTGAGCTTTTCTGATCAAAGAGTGCCCGGCATCTGTCTTTTCATCCATCTGTCTGTCATGTTTTTTGTAAGCTTTCCACATTTACAACTCCTTCTCCAGAACTATTGGGTCATTTTCAACCAGACTTGCCACGCAGGATCCTTGGGTGAAGGGAATTCAAGTTTTTTTTTTTTACATGAAGGGCCACAACCTCTTTCAAAAAGAGATAATTAAGAATCGGTGAAATTTTAACAGCATCTGTAAAAAATCTTCATATCAAGAACCACTGTGCCAGAAAAAATGAAATTTCTGTAAAAGCTTCATTACATAGTGTAGACTCAAGTTAGAGGCCACCAGTAGAAATCAAAGTTATACATACTAGGAATATATAGGAAAATCTCAAGAACAGCAAGACCATGCTAAGTCATAATAATATGGAAGCATCCTCAGGTAGTGTAGATTCAAGTTCAGATCATGATCCCAGGGGTTAGGATGGGGCCACAACAGGGAATCAAAGTTACTTGTACATAAGGAATAGACATGTATTGGAAAGAATCTTTAAAAATCTTCTTCTCAAGATCAGCAATACCATGATTAGTCTTATCAATATGGAAGCATTCTCAGGTAGTAGAGATTCAACTTTGTTCAAATTATGCCCCCCTTGGATAGGATGGGTCAGAATACAAGATCAAACATAGAAATATACAGGGAAAAATCTCTCAAAGCTATGATTAGCCATATGAATATGGAGGCATCCTCAGTTAGTGAAGATAAATCATGAATGCACCTATTAAGTGATTTCTGCTTTTCTCTAGCCAAAGTCTTCAGGTGAGTGATATAGCCCATGGGTCTCTTGTTTTTGATTAATTCATGAAGATATTTGTTCAAATAGTTTATTCTTTACACATCGTTTTGTTACAAAAAGAGTTACATGTATATATATATATATGTACATGTGTATGTATACATGATATAAGAGAAAAAATAACAATACTTTTGTTTTACAGTATTTTGAATGCTAACTTTTCCTGTCATCAAAAATTAATGTTTCTCAAACTATGATATAATTTTTTGAAAAAAATCGGTGCAAACATCCCAAGCAAAAATTTTAAAAACCTTAATTATCAGTATTTTCTTGTGCCAAATAGGTGGAGTATAAAGGCTGATCTGGAGAAGAGTTTGAAAATTCAGGATGTTTTAACAGAAGAGAAAACTGTTCTTGTCCAAAGGAGTCAAAGTAAGTTTAAATGAAAAATTGTATTTTATGATTTTTTGTTTGTTTTGTTTTGTTTTGTTTTTTTTTTAATCAAATACAGAGACTGATATGAGACTGAAATATTAAGTAATAATTATAAATATAGAAATATGATGTATATAAGAGACAGACAGTACAGTTTAGTAATCATATACAGTTATTATTAAGCAAAGTAAGACATGACATTGAATACAGTAAAACTCGGTTATAACGAAGTCACCAGGGACCTATGAAATTACTTCACTATATCCGTATTTTAATTGTTATATCCGTATAAGGAATTCATTAAATCTATATAGCTGGGGATCCAAGATAACTACGCTATATCCGTAAATTCTCAATATTCGTGTTCGTACTAAAAGAGTTTTACTGGACATGTCCATACACATTGAGATTTAACATTTTCATTTCTTTTCTGTATAAATTGGAAAGTAGAAAAAATGTAAGTATTTCAGGTGTATTTAGATTATGTATTTGAGTTTGAAGGTGAAGGGAATGTTTCCAAAAGGCTGGGTTTGAATTGACAATTTAACCAGATGAGATATTAATGAATGGGTAAAAGGATGTACTGTGGTTTCATTAATTTTTGGGGAATCAAGTTTTCTGGTTTTAGGGGAAAAATATAATTCAGTTGCAATGTAAATTCATAGCTTCTTTATCCTATTCTATAATTTGTAAATTTGTGATAAGTTAATCTGGTTGGTTGGGCTCAACCATGAAACATCAAAAATTGGCATTTAATGAAAAATGATGAAACCATAGTATATGGATTGAATGAAGTGTTGATTGCTTACTAAAGACATTTTCACAGCTATAATATTTGAATGTTCCTGTTATGAGATGGATGGATATTTAAGGTTACCCAAGTCTGTCAGTTTGTTTGAACTAGTTTGGTTTCCACTCGGTTACTTGAGAATGGCTTGTGATCTTTATATCTGTATATAAGTTTTTATCAAGCCAACATAATTGCAACATCCCAACCAAATTTCTGATCAGTTTTTTTTTTTTAAATCTAATTCTTATAATAAATTACCTTTTACTACTATTCAATTTTATAATTCTATCTTAATCTGAAGAAGGCAAACCTTTTAAATTTGTGACCTTCGAAGTTGATAGTTCATATTAGTTTACAATTACAAACACAAAACTACATGTATATCATTTAGATTAGGACAATTTTTTTAAATTATAGTTTTCATGCACATTTTATTGTGAGAAGAGAAAATCACAAGATTTGTATACTTTTGGGGCACTTGTAAGCTATGGTTGCAACTTTAATGGATAATTAAGTTTAACATTACTTTACATAATTGTCTATAGATGAACTAAGGTTACCAGCAAACCCAGGAATAGCTGAAGATACACAAGGACAATCCGTTGTAATCCAAGCTTGGTATTCTGTGTGTAAAGTTGTTTTTCCATTGTAAATATTCACGAAGTTTTTGTAAATACTACACATCAACATGGAATTGCATGCAAATCTCTCTTTAACATATGTAAGAAAACAAAGTCCTTACTAAAAAACACCATTGATATAAACTAACTCATGATATTTTAAAATAGTATTTTTCTTTCAGTATAAGAGTTCTTTGCAAACAAGCAGTGTGTAAAAATATGTATGAATAGATATTTATTATGAAGTTCATTACAATTTTTACATTGTCAGATATAATTTACATGTATCTTTCATAGCAAGAAATTTCAGTTTGTTGATCGGTTAATTAAAAAAAAAATGCAAGAAAAATCTTCAATTTCTTGATGATTATTACATGTATTTATCAATCATTTTCAATAATAGATCAGCATGACTGTATCCACTGCATTTAGAGTTATTTTGATTCTAATAATTGGTCTATTGTAATCAATTGACTAGGCCTTTCTCTTTGATCTGTTATGTATTGTGTATTAATCATCACCCATCATGTACTAGCTTATCACTTTCATCTTGACCCTACAAGGTGACCACACCAAGCTCCCTTCTGATTACCCAAGCTGATTCAGTTTCCAATTAAAAGAGATGGACTATATTGTAAACCTCCAATCAAACACCAGTTTATTAAATGATTGGATTAATGAACCAATCATAGCAATAACTGTTTCTAAAACAGCCAATAAGAAATTGAGTTTTCCAAGTTGATTTTACAAGAGATTTACTGGGCTACAAATAGGCCCAGATAGCTGAATCCAGACCATTATTCCATACAGAAGCTATCATAGTGCTGTTATATACCTAATGTTTATCTGAGCATTTTTGATAATTCGAAAGTGCATTTGTGTTTGTAGCTGTGTTATGTAAACGTGAATTGTTATCTAAATATTCTTGAGTATATTTTGTGCAAAAAAAGTCTTTTTGTGATTTAGTGATTTGTGAAATATTGATGTGCCGAAGTGTATTTCATTTTGTGAAGTGTGTCTAGTGTTGTGCAGTGTTTCACCATGGCTGCAAGTGCTTCTTCCCTTGCTATAGAGGTCAACTCCACAACCACTCTAGAGGACATCATCAAAGCCACCATATTTGATGACCTGCCTTCTTCTCCACTTACCATCCAGACCTCCTCTGAAACCAGCACAGCAGAAACCAGATTTGATGAGTGCCTGAATTCTCTCACCACTGAACACCCAACACCAGAGAAACCCTATGACATCCACTCCGATCTTCAGCTTGCTCTTCAATGTCTCCAACCTCCAACACCCAAGAAAGTCTCCATCAATAGCATCATCTCTGCCAACGAAATCTTCAGTGCTTTTCAGTTCATCTTCCGCTCAGAGGCCACTTCATCCACGCCATCTGTGCTCATCAAGTCTGTCCAACCAGAGATGTCCGCAGCCCATCATGAACATCAGCTTTGGCAGAGATTCAATGAACTTCATCATCACCATCCTCAGCAGATCAACGAGTTATCATCTTACTACAAGTACCAGAGTGCCCAAGTGGAGACTGACCGCTACTGTGCTCTTCACCAGAACTCCAACAAGCCACATCATATTCGTGAGAGCATCAACCAACACTACAACATCATCCATCATCGTATCATGGACCGTGTGGAGAACAGCCTACAGATACTAGAGGACAGTCTTCCCAAGCCATCATCATCCACTAGTGCTACAACCACCAACACAGAGCATAAGACCATCAACCTCAGATCAAGGCCATCACTATCCCAGAAGTCTGTTCAGCTGATGGAGGAGTGGTACTACAGTCACCTTGACCATCCCTACCCATCATCTGACATCATCGAGGAGTTGGCCAGAAGAGGAGGGATCAAGGAGGAGCAGGTCAAGAAGTGGTTCTCCAACAAGAGGAACAGGAGCAGGAGGTCATCAGGGATCAACAAGAGGAAGGTGTCCAGTGTTAACAAGAGTGTGCCATGCTTCTGGTGATTGTGTTGTAGAAGTGTCCAGTGTTAACAAGAGTGTGCCATGCTTCTGGTGATTGTGTTGTAGAAGTGTCCAGTGTTAACAAGAGTGTGCCATGCTTCTGGTGATTGTGTTGTAGAAGTGTCCCGTGTCTACAAGAGTGTGCCATGCTTCTGGTGATTGTGTTGTAGAAGTGTCCCGTGTCTACAAGAGTGTGCCATGCTTCTGGTGATAGTGCTTTTTTAGAAAAAAACTTGTGATGAATTAATGGTGGAATGAGTGTACTTTTTGTGTCAAAATTATAGTTTGCAATACATGAAAAGAAGTGCTAATCTTAATGGTCTAAAAATAATAATAATGGGTTACCAGTAATCTGATTTCAAATTTTGTTGTCTTCATTGATCAAATGATATGTTTTGGGATAACTAAGTGCTATTACTGTGTTATGACTTGTTGATTAAGTTTTATACAGATGCTATAATTTACTTAATAACTTATTAGGTCACCTGAGTCACTCAGGTGACCTATTGCTATCTGTTTTCGTCCGTCGTCGTGCGTCGTGTGTTAACATTTGAACATTTTCAGCTTCTTCTCTGAAACCGCTGAACCAATTTCAGCCAATTTTTGCATATGGCATCTATGTGTGAAGGGGAACAAAATTTTTGAATTTCATGGTCCCTGCCCCCCTGGGGCCTGAGGGGTGGGGCTAAAACCATCAAAATTAATGCAATCTTTAAAAATCTTCTTCTTTACTCCTGGACATCAAGCAGTCAAACTGTTGACATGATTGTAATAAGCATTGAGCCCTCTACCAAAATTGTGAAATTCATGGCCCCAGGGTCAGGGGTTCTGGTGCTAGGGCGGGGCTATATAGATCATATAGTGAAAGTGCATTATTTCTTTGAAAATCTTCTTCTCTACTCCTGGGTATTATTTAAACAAATTAAATACATAGTTATGATAAGCAAGAGTAACTCTACCATAATTGTGAATTTCATGGCCCCTGGGTCAGGGGTTCTGATGCTAGGGCGGGGCTCTATTTATTATATAGTGAAAATGCATTAATGCTTTAAAAATCTTCCTTCTCTGCTTCTGGGTATTATTTAAACAAACTAAGTACATTGTTATGATAAGCAAGGACACCTCTTCCAAAATTGTGAAATTCATGGCCCCAGGGACAGGGGTTCTTGTGCTAGGGTGGGGCTATATAGCTCCTACAGTGAAGGTGAATTATTTCTTTGAAAATCTTCTTCTCTGCCCCTGGGTACTATTTAAACAAACTAAGTACATTGTTATGATATGCAAGGATGCCTCTTCTAAAATTGTGAATTTCATGGCCCCAGGGTCAAGGGTTCTGGTCAAAAGGTGGGGGGGGGGGGGGGGGGGCTCTATTGATTATATAGTGAAAAATCAAAATTTCTTTGAAAATATTCTTTTCTGCTTCTGGTTAAAAAGCAAAGAAGCTAAGTTTATAGTTATGATGAGCAAGAGTGCTTCTTCCAGAGTAGTGAATTGCATGACCCCTGGGTCAGATGTGCTGGTATAAGGGTGGGGCTGTTGATAATGTAGTGAAAATGCATTAATTCTATTAAATAATCCTGTCTGCTCCTTAATGTTAAGCAGTTAAACAAAGTAATTACTTACGATGAGCAAACTTGAAACTTCTGGTCCCAGGGTGAGAGGCTCTGGTGTTTCTCGGTGGTGAAAGGGGGGGGGGCTCTATTGATAATATAGTGAATCTGTAGTGAAAATGCATTATTTCTTTAAAAATCTTCTCTGCACTTGGGCATATCAGAGGCAAAAAGTGTAAAAGTTGTAATAAGGAAGGGTATTTTTACCAGATTTTTGAACATCTTGACCATTTGGTCAAGTGTTCTGGTCCTAGCCAGGGCTCAATTAATTTGCATTCTACTGAAAGGAGTTATTCCCCTTTGCCATTTACTTTTGATAATTAATCATTGTAAATAATGTACTTGAAAATTAATAGAATAAGAGAATTATGCAAGAATTTTTATTGTATAATACAAAAAGTATTTTCATAGTTTTAATGATCATGTGGACTTGTAAGTAATAGATAAATGAAAATGAGACAAAAATAACTTGTCTTATTAAATGTTCATCAAAGACCAAGAGAGGCCAATGTAAGAGATTACAACAAGGAATTAAAATAGTACAAAAGCACTGATAGTTTGTTAATATACTGTATGGTGATAGTGATAAATGGGGAACAGATTAGAACCTAATTTATGAACTGTTAATGAATAGTAGACTAATTATTTTGTTGATCCTGATCACCCTATTTTTCTTGCTTTTGGGCAACAAAGCTTCACCTTTCATTTCATTTTAATACTCTATGGATCCTCTAAATTGTTGTATTGTACTCAGGTGACCGTTAAGGCCCTTGGGCCTCTTGTTTTTTTGTTGCATTACTGTGCTACTAGTGTATTATTTTATTGGTTTACTTACTTTATTCATGTGTGTATAAGTGAATTTAAAAATAAACAAACATTGAAAATTAATTCCTCTTTCATTTATTTCTGGTGTTTCAGAGAGTTTATCACATCCACATTCTGAAATGGTAATAAACTATTACTGGTATTAATGATTATAGTCTTTATCAAGTGCAAAATCATTTCTTAAAACTTAACTTATAAATTTGATTTTTTAAAACTCAGAGAAATGTGAGCATTCAAACTCCTCTGTATATCCAGATATTATAACCTTATAGTTGCACGATATGCCAATATTTTGTAGATATTTTCGTAATATTTTCAGATGAAAAAAAAATAGCCATTCAGAACACGGAGAGAGAGGTGCTGGGCTTTGTGTTATGTGCAGTTCAATCCAAACTCAGTCATTTGAGATCATTGATTGAAGATCAGGTCTGTGTATTCCTTAATTAGAATTAAAGAATTAAAATAACAAATATATTTGCCTGTCAGTATAAAATCTGTGAATTAAGGTATTAGGAATTTGCTCTGAAAGACTCAAAACAGTATTCTTTAGAAGAGTACTTAAGAAGAGTGAAAATCTAACATAATTGTATCTGTCAGTTGGACAACATTTATAAGCTCAAGAGATAGCAATAAAATATTGAAAGTTGCTCTTTGTTTAAATTATATTTTTGGGTTTGCCTTTTCTTTCTTTGTTTTGTTGCTTTTTTTTTTTTTATATGTTTACTTATCAGCCTATCTGGAATTATTATTTTTATTTGTTCACTTATCAGCCTATCTGGAATTATTATTTTTATATGTTCACTTATCAGCCTATCTGGAATTATTATTTTTATATACATGTTTACTTATCAGCCTATCTGGAATTATTATTTTTATTTGTTCACTTATCAGCCTATCTGGAATTATTATTTTTATTTGTTCACTTATCAGCCTATCTGGAATTATTATTTTTATTTGTTCACTTATCAGCCTATCTGGAATTATTATTTTTATATGTTCACTTATCAGCCTATCTGGAATTATTATTTTTATATGTTTACTTATCAGCCTATCTGGAATTATTATTTTTATTTCAGATACTTGATGAAGGAAATAGATCTTTCCTAGAATTCCAGTTTTTAGAACAAAATGGCTGGCCTGTCAGTCCCAAACAAGAAAGTAGTCTGTCTGTTCTTGATGTCTTAAATGAAAGGCATGTCATGATCAGGTTCAAGTCCTCACTAACCAGAGTATCTCCTCAGTACAAGGCAGGCACTGTAAATAGGTCAGTGTTTCTGCTTTCATTCTTAAACAAGTTGAAGAGTATCAAGGACAGAAATTTGCAGCTAACAGTTTGTTTGATGTTTTATGAGTCACAGTCTTTCTGTCGTGCAAATCATGTCTGAAGACAAAATATTATTACATATTTTATTAAGAACTATTGTATTAAGAAAAAAAAAGTGAAGCAATCAAGTGAACATATTTAAAAAGTTTTAAGTTCACCACAACAAAGTCATGGGGAGCTTATGCTATACCCTCCTTGTTGGCGTTGGCATCAGCGTCCAAGGTTAGAGGTTTTGAAGCAGTTTTCTTTCTTAGTACTTCTATATGCTCTATATTGATCTGTCCTGCATTGATGATGCATCTAGTATGTTTCCTTGTACCAGTCAGGTTTCAGACGCTGCATTTTCTCCCAAAATAAGCAGTTTAATGGAGCAAGTTAAAGTTTTTGGAGGAGGTTTAAGGTTAAGGAGCAGGTATCATTCCCAAGTAACTATATCCCTACCTGGACTAAACTTGCTTAGATATTGCATCTAAGGATGCACACTACAAGACTTGCTTGGATCTGTCTTATCACTTCCATCTTAACCCACTTTGAAAAAAATTAACATAAACAGTAATTGTTCCTGAATTTTTTATATGCTTATATGCTTTCTTACACTGAACATGCATGATGTGTGATGAAATATGTTACTTATAAAAAATGTCAAGTTTTTAATAAGATTGTTTATCACCAACAGAATTTCATACATTCCGTGCTGTTCATGGTGTCTTGTTTTTGTTTGGTTTTTTGCTGATAATAATTAATGCATGAATATGCATAAAGGAAAAACCACGGAATGACTGTTGGTTAACTCTTTACGTCTCATCTTTAGGAAGCGCCACTTGTCGTTTCGGTCCAGCAAAGACCTGGAGAGGGTATCCCCCGCTGACTCCAGTGTGGGAGACGTGACAGGGTCAGTAAAACAGATACTCATCAGCTACGTCAGAGCAGAGGCAGCACAGCATGCACTGAGGCTCAAACAGGAGTTATCTGCTCTTGGATTCAGTGTGTACTTGGTGAGTATGAAATAAGTTTCACTTACATAAACTGGAAAAGGTTAATTATAATGAACAGTATTACCTTAAGGGATTTGATGAAAACTTAAGAATATCAAAGGATTTTTTTTTTAATGGTGCATTAATGTTTTTATTCATATGTTGAAGTCAGCTAACTTTAATGGTTTGCTTCGGAAAATGTTTTTATTATATTTAGATAATACAGTTCTTGTTGTTATAGGATGTACATGAGATTAGGTCAGGCTTGGACTGGCAAGATTCCCTGAATTATGCTGTCAGTAACTGTGAATTTTTTGTTGCTCTTGTCACGCCAAAATATGGAGAAACTCAATGGACGAATAGGGAGGCAAGTGATACGAAATGTTTCAGACATATAAAGGCATATATATGTAAAGTGATTGAGGACAAATCTAACCATCACAAATTTACTGCATTATTAAAAAATGATGACTCTTAGTTTATTGATTATAATGTTTTGTACCATCAAACGTCAATCTTCAAAATTCAGTATTGTCAAAATAATTGGAGGTATCCATTGGTTTTTAGCTCACCTGAGCTGAAAGCTCAAGTGAGCTTTTCTGATCACATTTTGTCTGTAGTCCGTCTGTCCATCTGTAAACTTTTCACATTTTCGACTTCTTCTCCGGAACCATTGGGCCAATTTCAACCAAACTTGCCACAAAGCATCCTTGGGTAAAGGGGATTCAAATGAAGGGCCACGCCTTCATTCAAGGGGAGATAATTAAGAAATAGTGAAAATATGGTGGCATTTTTTAAAAATCTTCTTCTTAAGAACCACAGGGCCAGGAAAAATGAAGCTCATGTGGAAGCATCCTCAGGTAGTGTAGATTCAAGTTTGTTCAAATCATGGCCCCTGGGGATAGGGTGGGGCCACAATGGAGGATCAAAGTTTTACATAGAAATATATAGGAAAAATCTTTAAAAATCTTCTTCTCAAGAACAACAAAGCCATGTTGAGTCATATTTATATGGAAGCATCCTCAGGTAGTGTAGATTCAAGTTTGTTCAAATCATGACCCCTTGGGGTAGGGCGGGGCCACAATGGAGGATCAAAGTTTTTCTTAGAAATATATAGAAAAAATCTTTAAAAATCTTCTTCTCAAGAACAGCAAAGCTATGATGAGTAAAAATTTATATGGAAACATCCTCAGGTAGTTTAGATTCAAGTTTGTTCATATCACGACCCTTGGGATAGGTAGGAGCCACAATGAGGGATCAAATTTTTACAAAGGAATATATGGGAAATTTTTTTTTAAATCTTCTGAAGTACAACAAAGCCATTTGTTATATTGACATGGAAGCATCATCAGGTAATTTAAAATTCAAGCCCCCCCCCCCCCCCCCAATCTTTACAACACTGAACTTATTTGTGCTTTTGCATAGCCAATGTGCTCAGGTGAGCGATGTGGCCCATGGGCCTCTTGTATAAAGTTGTGACTTAAGTTTTTTGATTCAATTGAAACCATCAATTCACTTCAAAATATTTGACATGATGTTTGAGACACCAACTTCAACTTAATTTATTTCCAGTTTTGAATTTTTTCCTGCTGATTCCACAGAGTGCTGTTTTTGCATGAGAAGTTATATATTTTCTCTCATTAATTTTGAAACAGATTAAACTAGCTGATGTTCTGGGAAAGTTTATAGTTCCGGTCAGCTTTCTGGATAGCTGGCCACCGCAGTGTCTAGCCATACAGTTTGCCACCACACAATACATTGACTGGAAAACTCAGGCACAGATTACTGCAGGTAGGTCAAAACACAGGGATATTGTGGTTTACTTGAGATAATTTAAATATTTACAGTTTTTTTGTAATTGTGTATTCTTTAAAGACATTTGGAATGTGAAATTAATTATACAGAGATTTGTAAAGTGACAGTTTAAGTTTCTCATCTATATAGAATAGGCATTTTCTCCTACTAGTCTGAGACTGGTAAATATTTTACTCAGAATATTTCAACCACAGTTATCCTTTAAGCTTTACATGAAGATAATAAATACTATATATTTATATTTAACAGATTTAAGGACATGAATTTGAAAAAGCAGGGTACAATGATGTAAAATTAAAATGCATATATTGCAAGTAATTATATTTAAAAAAAATCCTTCCACAGAAATAGCTGAGGGTTCCAATTCAGCCAAAGATATCAAAGTATGGGAACACAGGCATATCCGAGATGTGGCGTGTAAAATAAAAGATCACCTTATAAAAGCTAAAGAAAAGGCTCTACAGAAGAAAACTTCATTAGTTAAAAGGGTAAACTGATCTATCATTTGAAGATTGCTTTACAAAAAATGCCAGGTTAACATGAAACGAGAATGATTTATTACTTGATTACAGAAAACGGTTGTTAAAAGTTGTACATTGATTGAGGAAAATAATGACCAGGCTTCACTGTGTAATAGAGATGGTTGTCCACTAGTGGTGGTGTGTGTTCATGTCAACCAACAACAGCTGGTAAGTCAGGGTTTGAGTACACTACACTTGGTATGAATTTATTGTATTACCAGTTTGGAGGAGGGGCAAGATTAAAAATAATCACTTCCATTATAACATTCATTGCCTATATCATTTTAGAGACTGGTTCTAATGACAAATAAAAAATGGTTGAAGTACATGTATATTGTTGATTTTCTTTATGGAATTGTGAACATAAATTTTAGTATTTATTTTGTATTTTTGATGATGTAATCCCTGGTATAATTTGTACTTGTTTTATCATACACAGAGTGCAGAATTGGCAGATTTCATCAGGAGTTTGGGTTGTGAAGTATGGTGCACAATCACTGATAAAGTAGAAGGCCAAAATGGTACAGCTACTTGTATATTGTTAAAGAAGTGAACAAGAAAATTTTCTTTATTATGTTAAAATTATGAGGGGATTGAAGTCAGAGGCTAAAGTTAGCTTTTCTGATAAAAGGTACATGTACATGGATATCTGTATGACTATATACAGATGTGTACATGTACATGTATGTTTGGCATATACCTTTTATACAGTGTATTTTGATCAATCCTTCTGATCCTCAAACCAATTTTTGTTAATTTGCTGCAAAGTATTATTGGTTAAATGGATTCAGATTTGATCAAATGAAGAGCCATACTCATTCTCAAAGGATCATTACAAAACAGTAAAAATTAGGGTGATGTCATTTAAATTATCTGGAACACCTAGTCCATGATGAGAAAAAAACTGTAAACAAAAGCCTCATTGTGTAGAGTAGATAATAACATTTTTTAGCTCATCTCAACAAAGTTGTGGGAGGTCATATAATACCCTCAGCATCTGCATCCCATGTTAAAATTTTTGTAGCAGATTTCTTTCCAATTACCTCTATACCCTATATTGATCAGAGTTGCATGAATGATGCTTCTAGTATGTTTCATTGTATTAGTCGGGTTTCATATGTTGCAATTTCAGTCAAAGAATGACCAGTTAGTTTTTAGAGCATGGATGAGCCATTTTAGGGATGAAAGCTACCAAACTTGCCTTAGATTCTAGATCTGACATACTTTTTCCGAATGAGGTTTAGTTTTTTGAAGAGATTCATTCCAAGGTTACTATTATCCCTATGCTGACAAACTTGCAAGGATGGTGCTTCAAGGGATGAACATTACCAGACTTGATTTGGTTGATGAATCTTACCTACAATTTCCAATGATTTAACAGAAAGAGTTTTGGAGCAAGTTCATTCCCAAGTAATTGAAAAAAATCCTACCCAGACCAAAGTTGCATAAATGTTGGATCCAAGGATGTTCACTACCAGAATATATGTTTAGTGTAGGACTGTCTTACTTAAATATAAAATGAGCTATGTAATCTTTACTTACCTAAGATTTTTTCTAATCATGACTAGATATATGCATTTTATTTGCTTCAAAAATTGCTTTAAAGTAAAAGTCAAAGGTAAATTAATCTAAATCTTCTGTTTGGTAGATTGCAGTAATTTAGGTGATGAAAACAGAGACAGTTTCCAGGAGAAAGCTGATGATGCTGGAGTTGTCATTGTACTGTTGTCATCTGACTTTATTCACTCTAGGACTTGTCAACAACAGGTAATAGAACAAAAGCAATATGATTACAACCAATACAATATCTACTGTGTAAAATTCTCAGGGCTTACTAAAGTCCTAACCAATAGAAAAAAAAAACTGTATCATTCATGTGACAACAAAGGAAAATAATGCATTTGTTATGTATACAGGTATTGTCTTCTATATTTCTAAAGTTTTTGGATAAACCTGATTTTTCCTGTTTCAGTTGTATTACTGTGAGCAAAGGAAGAAGGTGGTGCCCTTACTAACTGACAATACACAAATCCCTAGCTGGCTAGAGATGATGCTACAGTCTAACACTTATACAGTAGGTGTTCAAAAATCATGAGATTGTTAGCGTAGAATACACTTTAACTCTTTTCCCCTTAATGCCATAATTTCATGCACTTGTATGGAAAGTTGATTTTTGTATGTCCATTTCTGCTTCTAAAACTGGAATGTGTAAGCTCTGCACATCTACTGTAAAGGAACTCATTTGTTTTCACCCAATCATTCTTAAAGCAATATGAGCTGCATTTTTGAGATTTTTATTTTGCTGTCAAAATGTGTTATTATGATAAATTTGTATGAAATTTAAACCTTTTTGATCAATTAGACAGAAATAAAGTATCAAATTGTTTCAGAATAAAGGATTCTGTACAATCAAATATATAGTATTATATAAGAAATCAATATTGTACAGGACGACAATCATGTAATTTTGCTTCAATCAAAGCTTATATAAAGTTCTTCCATCGCATATTTGACCAATAGTAGTTTATAAACATTCTTTTTTCTGTCATGGAAATAATTCATTACAATTTTGCAACAAAAATTACTGACATAAAAGTTGCAGCTCATATTGCTTTAATCATTATTAAATGTAAAATATTCCAGGGATTAATATTCTTCAATCTATAGTGCATATGTGTTATGACAGGTATATATGTTTTTTTCCCAGTGTGTTGAAAAAAGGAATTATAAGGAGCACCTGCCCAAAGTACTAAAGAAACTGTTTGACCCAAAAGCAAGACAGAGCTGTAATGCAGAACTTGAAGAAGCGAGGGTATCATATGCTGTAAGCAGAGTTATAAACAATTTTAAAATAATAATAGTGACTATTTTAAATGTTAGAAAATTTTATTTGTATCATGTATAATAAATTTGTCTTTGCACCTGCGTTCCGAGATATACATTGAGTACCTGACAAATATGAGGTTAACTTCAATTCTCTAGGTGAAGCAGTTAAAAAAACTTCTCAGGAGCAGTCTCTGTGTCTACATATGTGGTCCATCTGTTTGTGAGAACATTAGAAGTGATCTAATCAGGTATCTCTTATCCTTCATTTAGCTAGTATCCACATATGGAGACACTTAAAACTTCCATGCTTTGACAGATGATTTTTTTGAATTTTTGCATACCAAACCTGTCTCTCATCTGTGACAAAAAAAAAAATCAAAAGCCTGAAATGCTTCATTGGCGTGGAACAAGAAAAACAATTTCAAAAGATCTTTTTGAATTTGAAGATAGCAGTAAGTCAAGTGAGTGACTCAGGAGACAAAATAAAAAAAAATAGTTTTAAACAAAATATCACAATTACAGTCTAGGGCCTTATGGAGCAGGGTTCGAATTGACCAGACACCGTCGAACATGTTCAAGCTAAATTCTTTTCAGTCAATTGAAGAACTATGAAGGATTTCATGAATTTATATAATATTCTTTCTAATTGCCAATGTCAAAGCATTTTATTAGTGATTGCATCTAAACTACAACCATAACTATAACTAACTATAACCATAACGATCAAGTTACAATAAGGCATGGTGTACAGTATATCTTTACGGGAAAATGGAGGAAATGGAGAAATAACTAATACTGGTCAATATCATCAGTTTTTAGGATAAAGTTGGTTAGAAGATTGTATAAGTAAAGCTGAGATTTAGAAATAAATCTTTTTAGTCTTGTAGTATTCGTGTTTGTGTAATTTTGTAATTATTTTACCACCTGTTGTATTGTTTGTGTTACACAGTTATCGTTCCGAAATGTTATTCATGTCATTCGACGCACCCTTTCTGTAGAAATTCATCCACAACAACCATCACGTTTTTCTTGTGTGAGAATAAAACATAATATCGTTGTTTTGCAATAGAATTAATTGTAGATATAATTGATGCAATTTTATTTTCAAGCTATTATTCATTGTGAGCGTTTTCAAAGAAATTGGTTCATAGCTATTGCTATTTTCTATTGTGGATGCATCGACTGACACATGCGGTCGCGTACGTCCGTTTGCGATTTCAACTGGGCGCTTGCTAGATGACGTTCGAGCTCTTGCTATAAAAACCCCAATAATATCTAAAACTTGTATATTAATTAATACTTAAAAAATGGAGTTTTGGTTTAATTTTGCAGATACTCTCTTATCACAAATCTGCAAAGACTGCTTGCATGCAGATATTTCTACTAATACAGTATTAAGAGTGCTCTAACCATATGTCTGACATTTCTTCCTTTGTCTGAGATCTTAAATTTAAAAATCGAAAACTAAAATCTTCAGGAGAAATTCATAAAGTAATAACATCTGAAATTACCATTTTATTCTAACTAGACTGCTTGGAAAGGTTCTCAGTGAGTTTGAAGATGTTACCATGGTAACTGGAGGAGGATACAATATAGAATACATGGTCAGTCACGCCTTTCTGGAGGAGACTCAACAAAATTTGAGACCTCACAAAGTCTGGCATGTCCTCCCAGAACAGGAAAAACAGGTCAGTGTTGAAGATTTTTTTTTCAGGTAATTATGGTATTTAATTAATATGTAAACATGTCTATATAATGTAAGTATTTCATGTAAATGTCTGTAGTGTTACTGTAGTGTTACTGTAGTGTTACTGTAAACAAACATAAATTACCTGGTATTCAAAATTAATTTTTTTAATGTTTTACAACATGTAATCATCAAAGCTTCAAAACATTGATCTATCAAGTTTTAATACCAATTAATTTGACAAAGAAAAGTTGACGCTCCTGTTGTGAGGCAAAATTGGTAAATGTGAGCATAGAAATGAAAGATTATACATCATTTCCAATATTTCTTTCATAAATATCAAAAAAGAATTGAAAATGAGTTTCTAAGGGACAAAGTTGCTCTTTATTTTCAACACAACTGAGTTTGTATTGATACTTGTAGTAGCCCATAATGCATTGCGACTCATTCAACAGTCGGTAAAGTAATAAGATAGCTATCTTAACATGCAAATTTATGCCAACATCGGAAACTCTAGTGGTTTTGACCTGTTAAATAAAGTTAACACAAAAGAATGAATAATGCACAAAAGTAATGAGAATAAAATAGTAGGAAATCATTCTAATGATATAAACTAACCCTACAAATCTTGATAACATTATTTCACAATTCTGTACATTAACATGGATATTATTGTAGGATGTGAGTAAAGATTACCCCCAGAACAGCGACGGAACATTTCAGGTGATCTCATTCGGTCAGACTTATTTCTGTGGGAATAGTCAAGAGGAAAGGGATCTCATCATTTCTAAAGCTGTTGAAGTTTGCCTGATAGTGATTGGTTAGTTTTGCATTGGAGAATTTAAAATATGTCAAATTCATTGACCTTAAACCTTTTTGCTTCATTATATGATTTTTTAGGTCACTTGAGTCTCTCAGGTAACTTATTGCTATCTGTTTTCATCCATCAGCATGTGTTGTCCATCTTGCATTAACATTGAACATTTTCAGCTTTTTCTTTGGAACTGCTGAACCAATTTGAACCATTTTTGGCATAAAGCATCTATAGTGAAGGGGAACAAAAATTGTGAATTTCATGGTCCCTTCCCCCCCCCCCCCTTGGGCCTTAGGGGTGGGGCTAAAACCATCAAAATTAGTTCTATTTTTAAAAATCTTCTTTACTTCTGGACATCAGGCAGTCAAACTGTTGGAATGATTGCAATACCAGTACTGTAAGCATTAAGGGGATGAAGGACACATGGTCACATGACTTTGTTAAACTACGTCATAGTCTCCATTTATATAAGTGCAAAACGTGTAAAGCATCAGTTCTTGTAAAAAATTTTGACAATTTTTTTTCTTTAATTACCATCTTATATTAAAAAAATAAAAAGTTTAACATTCTTGTAAACATTATCAAATTATGAAAAAAGATTGATCCACTCCTCTGTTTCTTTAAACTGCGCGTCCAACAAGTCGGTGACGTCATACACGATCTGCTAGTACAGCAAGATCATACTCGGTGAATACAAGGGCGGTATTATTATGTAAAAACAGGTCATAATCAGTATATGATGAAGTATTTTGAGAAACGGGGAACACAAAAATTAATTTTGCATGGCTGATGATGGAAATCTTATGTAGGTATATCTTGTTTCGCTTATTTAGCTTACGTGTGACGTCATAGTTGGTTTTTCCCGTACTCGAGAAATGTAAACATGACAAGTTTTTGTCCTACTTATGTCGTCTTCAACGATGTCCTGTGCAATATTGAGGTCAGCTTCACCATTCGAAATTTTTACAGTTAATCAATAATTTGAAGGACTTGCATTTCAACGTAAATTTAAAAATATTGAATGATAGGATTTTTTGTAAATTACGTTTTTTGTTGTTTAAGTTGTCTCAAAAAGTTCGTAATTTTCCCTATCCAGATGCAGTGTGATAGATGAAACTTGCCTTTTCGAATTTTTAACCCAATTCATACTCTGAAATATTTTAAAAGATACATGTTCACTTACATATTTTTTATATATGCTTTAAAAATCCAATTATGGACAGAGTAATGAGCCCGGCAACATGGAGAATTAAAACTCCACTTAGATACTGTAGGGCATAATATTTGTCAATCAATATCTCTAAAATAAGGTAAGAAACCTAATGATATAACTGCTTTAAGATATGTGGGACATACTTAATAAGAAATATACAAAATATAAAAAAAAATGAATGACAAGTATTTCTATAGTGAAGGGGAACAAAAATTGTGAATTTCATGGTCCCTTCCCCCCCCCCCCCCTTGGGCCTTAGGGGTGGGGCTAAAACCATCAAAATTAGTTCTATTTTTAAAAATCTTCTTTACTTCTGGACATCAGGCAGTCAAACTGTTGGAATGATTGCAATACCAGTACTGTAAGCATTAAGCCCTCTACCAAAATTGATAAAATTCATTGCCTCAGGGTCAGGTGTTCTGTTAGGGTCGGGCTCTAATGATCATATAGTGAAATGCATATATTCTTTAAAAATCTTCTTCTCTCCCCCTGTAAATTAAGCCGATAAACTAAGTGCATGGTTATGATTATCAAAGGTGTCTCTTCCAAAATTGTGAAATTTGTGGCCCCAGGGTCAGAGGGTCTGTGGAAGGGGGGGAGGGCTCTTCCAAAATTATGAATTTCGTGGCCCCCCGGATCAGGGGTTCTGGTGTTAGGTTGGTGCTCTATTGATTATTTAGTGAAAATGCATAAAGAACTGGGAACGATAGTATTGTTCTTTCACTTCTGTGGATCCTCTAAATTGTTGTATTATACTCAGGTAACTGTTAAGGCCCTTGGGCCTCTTGTTCTTTTGTCACACTTGTCACACATGTTATCAATTAGTAAAAAATAGAGTAACTGTTATACGTGAGGTTTGTTAACAAAATAGCATTTATTACAGGAGATTCAGATGTGAAATATTTAAGGCTGGCCAAGAAGTTTGCTTGGAATGATCACCATGTGATACCATTTGTAGTGAATATGGAGGGGGATTCTACATTCACTGAACAGGTTAAATTTTTTTAAATACAGTTAAATGTATTCATGTATTTATTGAAAATTTTTACATGTATTTTATGTTGATGACTTTTCTCTGTAAGCTTTCTCATGGGATTTCCTTGGAGGACTTCAGGGCCCTTAATGACCCAAAAGGGGCACCTGAAAGGAGGGCTTATGTGCTTCGCGACATCCTCACAAGAATTCAGGCAAACCTAGAAATGGAACAAAAGGAAGAAGAAAGTCAAGAAATGGAAATGTCACCCCCAAGAAAAATGTTAAGAAAATCACCCTCAAAAGGCAGCAGCACTAGTCATAAAAAAGTATCACTTAAGAGTCTTAATACAGTTATTTTGTAATATAGTGGGGATCTTTCTATATACAGTACTTTACTAATTGATATTTAATTGACAGTCCTTACTGCTACAACAATGTGAATACCCTATTATGTATTGTATTGGATATAACTTACAACAATTGTGCTTTTGATTTTACATATGTACATGTTTATTTATATCACAGGTAAAATTGCTATATTTTTCAAAATGTTTTTTATGATAAAAAAAAAAACAACATACATAAAATTTTTACACAATTATTTTAAAAAAAAAATACATGTAGGTGCAACACATTTGTGTACATAAAAATTTGTTAATTATGTCTTATATCAGAATGTGTCAGGATATGTTTAAAAATGTCAAATTTGAAGCTTATGATGTGTATATAATGCCAAAACTTATTGTACTGTACATCTTATTAACATTTATAGTACCTGTTCATCCTTATTGTTTGTATATTTTTATATATTGCTCTTTTATATGGTTAATATGTGAAGCAATTTTACGTGTGTATACATATTGACTTTTACATTCCTTTTGTAGGTTTTACACCCATGTTTATCTGTCAGTGATTTTTGCATTTACATGTATGAACATCTTTTACCATATTGTGTTCAGTGCTTGTAGGATATTTCCATCAATTTAATTACATGTGCTCATGTGCAGTTTTACAAATTTTGAGAGAAGCATTTTCAAGCATCAGTGTCTTTAAAGAACTTATCGCATGATCTTTCAGAAATCGTAATTTTATGAAAAATATTATCTACAACCTTGTTTATTAAAATACTGAATACAATAAACGTTGTTGAAAGCATATTTTTAGAGATATTGAGAGTTGAAATTCAAATACGGCAATATGCATATTTCAGTTGGATTTCGGCGAAATACAGCTCTGACGTCATAGGCGACATTTCAGTGATAGAGAGATGAGAATATGCACACTATTTACGGAGTTATCAAGGACAAATGCAGCTTAATTACAAATAATGCTGAAAAAATTAATTCCTACCATGCTTTTTAATTACTACAGAAACATTAACTAGTTCTAAGGTGTATGGCTTTTGGGATATTTTCGTTTTTTATTTGAAACATTTACAATCTGTACAGCTTCGATTACGACAATGTTTCATGATCGGAAAATTATTTTTCGAGACCGCCATCCTTTACAAAACATAAGCAAATTAATGTTATGCTAAAAACGACGAATAACAAAGTTATACAATATTAAATTTGTGAATCAATTAAGTTAATACATGTGATAAGATGACAAATCAAATTGTATTGTGATGGCGAGTTTCTTCGTCTTCGCCGCGTCTCCTTCGATATCGTTGCTGCTATTTTTACAATATTAACAGATTTTTTCCTTGCTGACAATTCTAAAATATAAGGTTTGCTATTCAATTTTATATCGATAAAATCAGTGATTTGGTCATCCACAACGCAGAAAATTCAGACTGTATCGCGTATATTTTAGTAAGATTAACGTGAAGAATGATCAGCCATTGTCGCCTTTGACATCACAGGGTCACGTGATCAGTATCTAATTAACTTAGATTTTTAATTCAGAGGTTTTCATTTGAGTCAATAATTGGTTAATTACTGTGGTTTATCTGCAGTAAAAACACAAAATTTATAAACTGTGGTCATCAGGAACGTTTTACGCTTTTTATTTCAAATAATATAGAAACATGCGATAAGTCCTTTAATAGAGAGATACACTATCTCTCCCACCAGAGGGTCATTATACCTAAAGCAGTTTCTTCAGACTTGTACTTTTCAATCGTCCAATTATATGAATATAATGTTCTTAAGTATTTTAAAATACGAAGAAACTTGTACCAGTATCTTTATAGGAAATGTTATTCCAGAATTATATACCATATCTATAGTATTTTTTTTCTCCGGGGATTTAAGATATTTTTAACTCTACTGGACATAATGTTGCAATGGTTACTAAAAATAAATAAATGTGCTTAATTCTTTGTACATGTAATTCTAGACCTCCTACAGTTTTAGACTGATATCAAATATACCTGCCTTCCACACTTACTGTTCTTTTCTTGTTTTTGATGTTGCCATAGTTGCTTTAATTAGAATAATGTGTGAAACTTTCAAAATGCTACAGTTTTTTACTAATTTAAATAAAGAAGACTACACAGCTATGGTAAGAATGAATATTTTATATAAACATTTACTTTGGTTTTTTAGCTCCCTCAACAAAGTTGGGGGAGCTTATGTAATACCCTTGGCGTCCCAGGTTAAAGTTTTTGGTGCAGTTTTCTTTTCAAGTACTTCTGTGCCCTATATTAATCAGAGATGCATGGAGGATGCTTCTGGTATGTTTCGTTGTACCAGTCAAGGTTTCAGATGCTGTGATTTCAGTTAAGGAATGACCAGGTTAATGTTTTTGGAGCAGTTCTTAGACCAGGTTAAAGTTTTTGGAGAAGGTCTCATTTCCAAGTAACTATAAGCCCTATATTGACCAAACTTGCAGGGATGATACATCTAAGGATGCACGCTACTGGACTTGCTTTGGATGCTGGATCTGACCTACATTTTCCGGATGAGTGACCAGGTTAAAGTTTTTAGAGCAGGTCTAATTTCCAAGTAACTATAAGCCCTATATTGACCAAACTTGCATGGATGATACATCTAAGGATGGACACTACTGGACTTGCTTTGGATGATGGATCTGATTGACATTTTCTGGATGAGTGACAAGGTTAAATTTTTAGAGCAGGTCTCATTTCCTAGTAACTTTAGCCCTATGTTGACCAAACTTGCATGGATGCTACATCTGAAGATGCACACTACCAGACTTGCTTCGGATGCTGTATCTGACCGACATTTTCCAGATGAGTGACCAGGTTAAAGTAAACTATAAGGGCTATCTGGACCAAAATTGCTTGGATGATGCATCACAGGATGAACTCCCTCAAACTTGCTTCAGATGCTTGATATGACTTACATTTTCAGGATGAGTGCCTAGTTTAAAGTTTTTTGGTAAGTCCATTCCCAAGTAACTGCAAGCCGTATCGGACCAAAATTGCATAAATGTTACATCTAGGGATGCACACTATCTAGGGATGCACACTATTAGATAATTACTAGAGTAGTTTGGGACTTTGCCTTACTTAAAGACAACATTCGTTGAGGTGAGCTCTGTAATCTCTGATTACCTATGTTTTTTTTTCAAAAAGCTAACCTTCCTTCAGTTTCTTAATGCTTTAATTACATGTAATTAAAGAATGTAAAGAAAAAATATCAATGAGATTTGCACACAGGGATTTATTTAAATTGTCATTTTCATTCAACAGTCGGCATAACAGTCAAGTTACCTTTCAACTATATTATTTACATTGATTAATTATCATATGTGACAGTGACAAACTTCTTGTAAAGCATAATATTCCTATATATGATCAAAATAAAGCCCTACCCATCTCCTGAACCCCTGTCTCTAGGGCTATGAATTTCAAAATTTTGGAAGTAGTAGTATTGCTGATCATAACCATGCACTTAATTTGCTTAATACCCAGGAGCAGAAAAGAACATTTTTAAAGAATTGAAACTTTTTCTTGTATGATCAATAAAGCACTGCCCTAACTCCGAACCCTTGACTGATTGGCCAGAAATTTCACAATTTTGGAAGAGACACACTTGCTCATCCTAACCATGCACTTCATTTGTTTGCACAATACCCAGGAACAGAGAAAAAAATTTCAAAGAGTTATTGCATTTTTGCTATATGATCAATGTATACCCACCCTAAAACCAGAACCCTTGACCTTAAAACAATTTTGGAAGAGGCACCCTTAGTCATCATAACCATGCACTTAGTTTGTCTGCTTAATACCCAGGAGCAGAGAAGAAGAGTCTCAAAGAATTTATGTATTTTCACCATATGATCTTGCCATATGATCATACATGTAATATAGACCTGCCCTAACTACAGAACCCCTGATTAAGGTGCCATGAATTTCACAATTTTGGAAGATGCATCCTCATCATAACCATGCACTTAGTTTTGTCTGCTAAATACAAAGGAACAGAGAAGAAGAATTTCAAAAAGTTAATGCATTTTCACTCTTTGATCAATAAAGCTCTGTCCTAACTCCAGAGCCCCTGACCCTGGGACCATGAATTTCACAATTTTGGTTGAAGTCTCAATGGCTCATTACAACCATGTCCCCAGTTTGACTACTTGATGTCCAGGAGTAAAGAAGATTTTTAAAGGTTGCATTAATTTTGATGGTTTAGGACATACCCCTTAGGTCCCTTGAAATTGGTTCAGTGGTTCAAGAGAAGAAACTGATGTGCAAAATGTAAATGCACAATGACAGACAAAAACAGAAAGCAATAGGTCACCTGAGTGAATCAGGTGATCTCAAAAGTGGTATCCATAGTATCTAATATATCGATTTTCAACTGTTTTTCTTATAGGTGTATCAGTGAAGCATGAGGAAATACATATAATTCTCATGGAGAGAGATTAAATAATTTGTTAAGAATGATTATTAAGGGATGCAGTCATATCATGGTCAGTGACTTTTTGTGACGTATTGAGGAAATATTCCTTAAGAAAGTGGAAATAAAATGCACTCATTTATTATTTGTGCTTTTATTGATATTTATGAACCATTCCATGAGAAATTACTTATTTGCAATATTATGCAGAAATTCACTCCGATCTCTACTGTTAAAGTCTTCTTTACCAAACATAGTTGCCTGAAATTTCACAAGCTCAGTTCTGAGACTTTCCACTGAACACTGAATAACTCCTGCACAGACTTGTATCAACCACTGAAGAGAAGCACTCTGATTGGTCACAATATCCATTGGGTCAAACAAAGGAAAACTCTCTTGCACACATATCACCATGTCTGAAATTTCAATCAGTTTTTTAGTATCAAATTTACTTTCTTCGGACTGACTGAAATCAATCACTTTGGACAATTTCTCCCTCATTTCTTCCTTTTCCTTTCTGCGTTTTCTTTTCCTGCTTTGTGTTAAAGTTTCAGCATTTTCCAGGTCCTCCTGAATGTCTTCATCAGAACTTTCAAAACATGAACTGTAGATGGTGCTGTCGTCTAAGCCACAATTTTCAAGAGCCTTGACAAATGACCTGGGCTGGGTGATGTATTTTAAACTGTAAGACTTGAATGAAACGGTCTCCAGTTCTGTATTTTCAGATATTTCATTGTCGTACTCCCCCATCATATAACCAAGGGGATCCTCCTCGGCATATTCTACGTTAAACAAAAATCCACATGCATATACGTACATGAACAAATGATTACTGTTTAAATTTATGAAATGGATCAGTACTGTAGATTCCTTATTTTACGTATGAATTTTAATATGCGAAATGACTCATAGAGGTCAAATAGTGAGAATGAATTCACATATGGAATGTTCATCAGGAGTTTTTACATGTTATCAGCCACATAAAAATACAGGTAAAAGCGAGTCATTTTACTTTGCCAGTGTTGCTTCTCTCAAAATTATGCAATAAAAAATTCCTCATGTATAATTGGTTATCTACAGTAAATTTCTTGCTTTGGATAAGCTATATCAATTTAATATTTTCTCTTAATGGGGGGGGGGGGGGGGGGGGGGGAGAGAGAGATGTTTAAAATGTAAAATTGTGTTAGATTAAAGAATTCCACAATCTGCATGGGCCTGTCTTGTATGGAAATTAATACAGCAATTCACATTAAAGATTTGTGCTTGCTTACTTGATGACAGAAAATCTCTATCACTTTGAGGCTTGACCTGTTTTTGGTAATTCTTTTGAATTTCCTCTTGAAGTAAATAAACAGGCCTCCTTATAGCTGCTACAGTTTCTTCTTGGTTTATTTTGTTTTCACAGCTACCTAAACAGTATGAAAAAAGATGCCAATAACTCTCTAACCATTGCAAACAATAGATAATACATGTATTTAGACTCGATCAATAGATAAATGATTCAGCTGAACTTCATTAATCAAAGTTGATGGGACTGAGAAAAACTGGAGATACTGAAGGGTTTGTGATATTGAAAGTTAAATTCATAATGAAAACGTAGGTAATAAAAGATTACAGAGCTCACCTCAAGAAATGTTATCTTTAAGCAAGTCCAGTCTCATACCAAATAAAAGTTCTGGTAATGTGCATCCATAGATGCAACATCTACGCAAATTTGGTCTGGATAGGATTTGTACATACCTTGGAATGGACTTGCTCTAAAGTTATTCTGTTCAATAATCTGGAAAATTAAGATTCAGCACCTGAAGCAAGTCTGATAGTTTGCATCCAAAGATGCATCATCTTTGCATGTTTGGTCAGCACTTAGGACTTAAAGTCTTATAGGAACCTGGGAATGAATCTCTTAAAAAAAACCTTTACTCTGGTCAATCATCCAGAAAATGTTGGTCAGATTTAGAATCAAAAGTAATTCTGGTAGCTTTCATCCCTATATAAATCATCCATGCAAGATAAGTCACCATAAGGCTTTTAGTTATATGGGATTAGACCTGCTCCAGAAACTTTAACTTGGTCACTCATCTGTAAAATGTAGGTCAGATCCGGCATCTGAAACAAGTCTGGAAGTGTGCATCCCTAGATGCATTCATCCATGCAAGTTTGATCCATTTAGGGCTTAAACAAAAATGAACTTGCTATAAAAACAAGCCTGTTCACTAATCTAGAAATTGAAGATTAGATTCAGTATATGAAGCAAGTCTGGCAGCTTTCATCCCTACAAAAATCAACAATCAAGTTCGGTAACCATAGGCATTATAATTATTTTAGAACAAGCCTGTCCAAAATCTTTAACCTTTTCACTCATCCATAAAATATAGGTCTGAAACAGATCCAGCATTCGAAGCAAGTCTGGTAGTGTGCATCCCTAGATGCATCACTCCCTGCAAGTTTGGTCCAGGTAGGGCTTATATGTACTTTGGAATGAGACCTGCTCCAAAAACATTAACCTGATTATTCTTATAGAAAATATTGGCTGAAAATGAAGCATCTGAAACCTGAACGGTACAATGAAATGTACTAGATACTAAATTATTTTACAGTATGTAACATATAATATATAACAGCATGTAACATATAACATTACAGTATGTAGATGTAATATATAATATTACAGTATATAAGATATAATATTACAGTATGTAACATATAATATTACTTCTTGCATCCTTGCACATCTTTCTGACGTTTAACTTCAGAGATTTCACTTCTTCCATGTATTTCTGTACATCTTTTATGGACCGAGGGTCACTTTAACAAAGAAATGTACATGTTTCAGTGTTTAATTATGTTCAAAATTTAATCTAAATAGTCATTACATACATTGAAGAAAAGACTTGCAATGTCCTTAAAACTTGGAAGGTTTTAAAAATAATTAACTAAATTTTATTATTTTTCAAACCCACTAGTTCCCAGTTTAACTTTCGAGTAACTGAATTTGGTTATTTTTCAAACCCGCTAGTTCCCAGTTTAACTTTTGAGTAACTGAATTTGGTTATTTTTCAAACCCGCTAGTTCCCAGTTTAACTTGTGAGTATAACAGTTGTACATTTTTTCATGCAGGATTAATTTAAGCTATGTACATGGTCACAGATTATCCATGGAAATTTGTCGCAGCAAATTTAAAGTGATTTAAGGCATAAAATAGCAACCCAAGAAATCTGTGTAATTATTTTACCTGCAGATTAATTTGAAATTTGATTCCACAGAATGGAAACAAGTACAACAAATGACTGAAATAAGTTATTTATATCAATTTACTGTAAAGAAAATAATCTATGAAACTATATTTACTATTTTCAGTTAATAAAAAAAAACCAGGGTCTTTTTTATGCCTCTGACTATGAACAGTGACTCTTTAAGCTAAATATTAAATTTCATCATTCTTTTCTTTGTTTTTTTCTTCACAAATTTTCCACTTACAACTGGTTTGTCAGCACTTTGGAGTATGTCCCACTCAATGAATGTATGCTTGTGTATGATACCCACTGCTCCCAACAAAATAAAGTATGATCTGTACAAAAGTAAACCTCCAGGTATATACATCAATAATTCTGATACAAGAAACATTCTATAAAGAACATTGTGTATCTAGATGTAAGCAAAACAGTAATGTATATATAGAGTCCTATAAACCACAATTAAGAAGGAAATATAGAAAGTCACATGTATATAATCATGGTTTGCATGTTTTAAATTCCAGCCAAAATTACAGTTGTTTTGAATTTCTTACTTGAAATAGTTCTTTTCACATGTATACACAATGTAAATTGCATTTGAAAGAATTAAAGCTACATCTATATACGAGGGCCGTTCAAAAATTACGCGGACTTGTTGCACAGAAAATATATTTGACGACATAATCAAGCAAAAAGTCATAAATAATATATGATCATCAAAATTTCATATCAAAATATTATAAATTGGTATCAATTTCGAGTTATTCAACAGGAACATCTCATGAAGTCATGGCGCAGTAAAACTTTCCACATCACGAGCATTTTAAAAAATGGGAGCTTTCATTTTCTCAATATTTTCCCTCAGTATTTGATACTGTATAGTTTTTGGTTACCTTATCCACTCAGAATAAACATCCATATACCATTTCCGATTCAGCTTAAAAACTATAAAACTATCATTGTATGTTTTAGTTTGTGTTAAACCCCAAAACTGCAGATATTTCTAAAGTAAAGTTTGACATCAGTCGATCTCAATCACATTCTTAACAGCCCAGATCAGTGTTTTGTCGATGAACTTCTTCCATTCCTCCCGTATTGCCTTTTGACTAAGGTCTATCAGTCTAAAATTCTTTTTTACATGTTGTAGAGGTGTGTCGGATATTCCGCTGGTTTACTACATGTGTTATTAGGATTATTCTGGGTCTCTATTGGCATTTTCCCAGCATGATTCATGATTTGATAAAAGTGCGCTGCTCCGTCAAATCACGAGACGTCATTTTTGCAGTTGATTTCGAAGGGGTCACATCGGAGAAAAATTACAATATTTCTGTTAGTACTTCAAATATTATGCCAGAAATCTAAATACTTAATAATAAAACAATAAAAAGAAATTTTAGAAAAAATTGTTGAATAATATAGTAAAAAATGGAAAATAAATGAATAAAATTTTGGATACCGCATGCTTGTTTTTCAACATTTTTGCCGTGCTCCATATATCACCATCAGCAGTATCAAAACGGCAATAATTTTATGAGATATTAAATTAAATCAGAAATTTTTACCAAGAATTTATTGGAATTTTTAAGAAATATGTTCCTGTGAAATTTCAATTCTATATGACGTCTGTAAGAGTAAATAATAGCAGAGCCCGCATAATGTTTGAACGGCCCTCGTACATATCTCTACAAACTTTATTTATTTTAAGTTTTATGAGAACTCACTAAAACCTGGCATTTCCATTAACTTTTTTGCACATTTTGAAAGTTCCCTGCAAAATATAAATTAAAAAAAAAAGTTTTTACACACAAAAGCATTTACAGTCAAACCCTGTTTTCTCAAACTACACAGGGCTGAGATTAATCTTGAATTAGAGATGACAAGGTAAAAAAAAAAAAACATTAAGAAAAAGGGTTGGGACTGCCAAATCTTTTTGACATATCCCTGGTATTTGAGATATTGGTGTTTGAGATAACGAAGTCAACTGTATTACATGTATCTCAGTATCACATCAGCTATGTTTAAAGTATATGAATGAATAAGTAAGAAATTCTTAAACTTAAGAGTGAAAATAAGTCAGGAAGGTTGTCAGGCACAAAAAAAATTATATACAAGTATTACAAAGGAAGATTTACAGAGCATAAGTTACATGTATGTTACAGTGTTAATTACCACTCCATTTTATCATTCAATCCCAGCAACAGTTGTAGTGTTGTAATGATACACATCATGGCGATGACTTCATTATTTACATTACACTCCTCCCCACTTTCAATATTTATGTTGTCAGCTCGCATTAGGTGTAATCTTTGTACAAATCCATGAAGCTCACCTTAAATTCAGTTTAAATTTACAGTTTTACAATAGTGTTTTCTGAATACACTGCATGTTTAAAGATGTATTTAAGAATTGAGCAGAATGACATAGTTCATAGCCAACTCAACAGTATTATACATGTACATGTACAGTAAAACCTGTCTAATACAACACAAAATGGGACAAAACTTTTGTGTCAGAAAAGACAGGGAGCCAGATTGCACAGTGAAAGAACAAAGAATAATATAATGGTGGGAAAGAAAAAACAAAGAGGCCAAAGGGCCTTAACGGTCACCTGAGTACAATACAACAATTTAGAGGATCCACAAACTGATAAATGAAGCTTTGTTGCCCAAAAGCAAGAAAAATAGTATGATTTGCATCAACAAAATAATTGGTTTAGTATCCATCTGTCCCCTATTTATCACTATTACCAAACTGTTAACAAACTGTCTATTTTTTTAACCCCATATTATTACTTCTCACATTGGCCTCTCTTGGCCTTTGAACTGTTGAAGTTCAATTAAAAATGATGTTATTTTTGTCTCAATTTTATTCATCTATTATTTCCAAGTCTACCTGATCATTAAAACTATGAAAGTACTTTTTGTATTATACAATAAATATTCTTGCATAATTCTCTTATTCTATTAAACATTCAAATACATTATTTACAGTGATTTATTATCAAAGGTGAATGGCAAAGGGGAATAACTTTGCTCAGCAGAATATAAGTTAATAGAGCACTGGCCAGGACCAGAACACTTGATTAAATGGTCCAGGTGTTCAAAATTCTGGTAAAAATACCCTTGCATATTAACACTTTTCTCTGTTTGCCTTGAATATGCCAAGAAGCATAGAAAATTTTCAAAGAAATGCATTTTCACTATATATTATTAAATAAATAAAACCCCATCCTTACACCAGAACATCTGACCCATTGGCCATATTAAGCTCACAATTCTGGAATAAGCACCCTTGCTCATCATAACTATACACTTCTTTCTTTGCTTTATAACCAGTCGTAGAAAAAAATATTTTGAAAGAAATTATGCATTTTCACTATATAATCAATAGAGCCCCCCCCCCCCCCCTTCACCATGACCCTGGGGCCATGAATTTCACACATTTGGAAGAGGCATTCTTCCTTATCATAACCATGCACTTTCTTTGTTTGAAAAATACCCAGGAGCAGAGAAGAAAATTTTGAAAGAATTTATGCATTTTCCCTATATAATCAATAGAGCCCCATCCTAACATCAGAACCCCTGACCCTGGGGCCATGAAATTCACAATTTCTGAAAAGGCAGCCATATTCACCATAACTATGTACTTAAATAGTTTATTTAATACCCAGAAGCAGAGAAGATTTTCAATGAATTAATGTATTTTCACTACATAATCAACAGAGCTCCGCCCTAACACCAGAACCCCGACCCTGGGGCCATGAAATTCACAATTTTGAAAGAGGCACTCTTGCTCATCATAACTATGTACTTACTTAGTTTATTTAATACCCAGGAGCAGAGAAGAAGATTTTCAAAGAAATAATGCACTTTAACTATATGGCATCTCCATATGAGTGAAAAATTCTCGAGAGGGGCGTTAAACAACATACAATTAATCAATCAATCTTTTCAGTACACATTATATTAGTCTGTACAAGATTAGTGAGGTTTACATAATTATGTACCTGGTAAATTTAGAAGAACTAAATTCTTGCTGATAAGGATGGATGTTGGAACCGAAACTTCAGCATCATCTTCCTGTAGAAAGTTTAACAACCTTTCAGTTGTTTTGTTGATTTCCTCGACAGTGGGCACCTGAACAAAAAATATTTTTGTGGATTATAATCGGATGAGTAATGGCCAAATCCAATAAACAAAAAATTTATTTTCAAGATAGATGACTATGAATACATATCAAACCAGAAGTTTCTGACAAGACAGTAGCTCTACTGGTATGTATCTATAATAAAGAAGGGTGTACCTGTAGCATAGTCAATGTGTGTACCAAATTCAATTGACTATAGGAAAAGTAATGTTTTGAAAGAATTTTACAGCAATTTCTATTCACAGATAAACATGGCAACATTGATAGTTGAAATTAAAAATTGATACAGAGAATTATTAATCTAAGTATGTTTTACTTACATGTATGTACCAAGTCTTATTGAAATCAGATTTAAACTGTTGTAGCATTTTGAAAAATCATTTTATAGACAGACAGACAGACAGTTGTCTTACTAATGCAAAAGTTCTTCTGGTCTCTGAGTAGTAGAGCTAAAAATTATGGACTATTCTACTTACTTTTGTTGTAAAAGCTTTGTTATCAGCGGAGGAAAATTTCATGTCATTTGGCAGAATCTTGGTGGCCTGCAGATATGGTATATGACCTTGTTTCACCCATCTAAAGTTTGGATAAAACGTTTCAAAATGTCAATACACAAGAGAAACCTATGTGTTTAAGTACATGTACTTATAAGAATACATTAATTTATATAATCTAATTAAAATTATATCCTTTTATAAACTCACATAGATAGCTACTTAAGTTGCTATTTATCTGAGCATATCAATTTAAGGATATCATTTTATTCAAATTCTTAACTAATTCTGATAAGTAAAAAGTTACTTTATTTAAAAATACAATGTATACAAGTCATGTATTTTAAAAACCTTATCAGAGACGTTCTTAATGTGTTGCTACATTTGTTGTTGCAATGCTAAAGGAGGCATTATTTCAACAGAGATTTTCTATAGTTGGTGCTTTAATACAATACAGCACTTGTAGTATTCCAACACTCACCTAACAATATCTGAAGCTGTGACTAGACACTTCATTTTCCTGAGACCAAGGAAACAAAAACACAGAGCCCTGTTCATACTCATCCATTGTATGGTCTTCCTTACACTGTCTTCTTGCTGAGAATACAATATATAAATATACATGTATATTATACGTTTACTCCTTTATACAGTTGATATTGCTCATAGGATATTTTTTTCAAATCCACAGTTGTGACATCACAATGGCTTTTTGCGTGAATTTGATCAAGTCAAATATTATGGATTTACAAAAAAACAGTATAAAACATGATATAGCTATGCGTAAAACATGCGATAAAAAGAATCTCATATGATTTTTTATCCAGAGATTTATATGTTTTTATCCCCTGACCTTGGCAAGGGGATAGAAACACACAAGTTGGATAAAAAAAAAATCATATCTAATCATAAACCATGGTAGATTCTTTATATTACACATATAAAGTTGAACTTGAGTATCTTTAACACTGATAGCTTGAATACCATGGATATATCAATCACTGGTAACTGCACTACAACAATGTATAGACCATTTTACTCATAAGTCATAAACTATCATCAGCCTGCAGATCCTGTATAATCAGAGCAATTTGATGAATTTACAGAAAGAGATAAACTGTTTTAAAATCATGACATCAAAAAGACATCCAATATTTTAAATTCAGGTGGTGGCAATGAAAACAAACACAACATTTTGTTACATTTCATGGTAAATTTGACCAAGACAGAATGGTTTCAGGTAAAAGAATATCTTTGATAACCCTAGCACCTTAACATTAACCCTTTACCCTAACCCTGGCAAAAATAAACATTTGATTTAAAAGTAATATTCTCATCATAATTGCCATCACATGAAGAAAGAATTATTGTCTTATAATTAACACAAATACATGTACTTACATGTATGTAACATTTCATTTCAAACATGTATGTAACATTTCATTTCAAAACTGCTTAAGTTAAAAAAAACTTAGAAGCTGATTCATGGTGTATCAACTGAACCTACAATTATAGTGTATCAATTGTACCTACAATCATAGTGTGTCAATTGTACCTACAATCATAGTGTATCAATTGTACCTACAATCATAGTGTATCATTTGTACATGTACCTACAACCATAGTGTATCAACTGTACCTACAATCATAGTGTATCATTTGTACATGTACCTACAATCATAGTGTATCAATTGTACCTACAATCATAGTGTATCAACTATACCTACAATCATAGTGTATCAATTGTACCTACAATCATAGTGTATCAACTGTACCTACAATCATAGTGTATCAACTGTACCTACAATCATAGTGTATCATTTGTACCTACAATCATAGTGTATCAATTGTACCTACAATCATAGTGTATCAACTGTACCTACAATGATCATAGTGTATCATTTGTACCTACAATTATAGTGTATCAATTGTACCTACAATCATAGTGTATCAATTGTACCTACAATCATAGTGTATCATTTGTACATGTACCTACAATCATAGTGTATCAACTGTACCTACAATTATCATAGTGTATCATTTGTACCTACAATCATAGTGTATCAATTGTACCTACAATCATAGTGTATCAATTGTACCTACAATCATAGTGTATCATTTGTACATGTACCTACAATCATAGTGTATCAATTGTACCTACAATCATAGTGTATCAATTGTACCTACAATCATAGTGTATCATTTGTACATGTACCAATAATCATAGTGTATCAATTGTACCTACAATCATAGAGTATCAATTGTACCTACAATCATAGTGTATCATTTGTACATACCTACAATCATAGTGTATCAACTGTACCTACAATCATAGTGTATCATTTGTACCTACAATCATAGTGTATCAATTGTACCTACAATCATAGTGTATCAATTGTATCTACAATCATAGTGTATCAGTTGTACCTACAATCATAGTGTATCAGTTGTACTTACAATCAGATTGGTTCTGTTTTCCTCCAAGTCCTCCTCTTCCTCAATATCTGAGGACTCTGATGGATTATCCTCCAGAGGATTATCTCCTTCATAGAACTCCTCATTCCTCAAGGCCTCCTTCATTTCCTGTTTCTCCTGTTTCAGAAAAAAAAATTGTTTTAAAATATCAAAGTTTTTAAGAGTGCAGTTATTACATTAAAATTTTAAGTGAAATGGATATATGTACATGTAGCAAAATCATGCTAATAAGAAAGTAATTAAGTTTCTTTCCTTCAAAGTATTGCAAAATAATGAAATATTAATGAATAAAATGAAATATAAATATTCCAGCACTATTTACTCACAACATCAGGGGTTGGGAGCACACTTGTGGTCTTGGGACCCCTAACAAACTACATCCCTATTTTTTTTTGGGGGGGGGGGGAGCAGTTTCTCTCATTGAGAAGCGCTAATCAAATTGGGGTTTTCATCAGTTAACATAACATGTAAGCAGTCAACACCTCAAAGCATGTGTCACAGGTTGTTTGTCTCAAAGAGGGTTGATATGATTTGCAGTTAGCCCTTAATAAAATGAAGGAAGTTTGTCAGAGTCCCATAGTCACTGGTGGACTCCGGATCCTCACACTGATTTGGATTTACTGTCAGTATATGATATCTGGCACACATTTTATATATGTTAAAGAATGTAGTATAAGATTAAGCTTTTGGGAAACCTCAACTTTTATTGCAATGAATCAAATGTTAAATTTTCTCTAACCTGCTTCTGTTTTGATTTCTTAGCAGACATCCCAAATCTTTGGAGATGTGTTTTCCTGTATCTCACAGGTGGAATTACAGGATTTTCTATTGTAGCTGGGTATACTTCCCTACAAATTAAACAGAATATTTTCAAATTCATTATGTCTTTATTATTAATAAGCCCCTAGATGAGTTTTATCTATACAATAATTCAAGTCAAAACTAATTTAAAAAAAAACAAAACATTTTAACATTTATATGATGCAGTAAAACATAGGGAATACAGAAAACATGAAACATCAAAACAACTGCATCATTGAATTTTTCATCCAGTTTGTTTTCTTTTATTGTAGCATGTATCCCACTAAAAATTTTTGTTTTCAAATGTAAAAGGAATTTTTAATATAATCAAAAATAACACTTTCCCAATACTTTTAAAGTAACATTTCATAATCATGAACTCCTTTTTTAACTATTGCTCTAGTATAACTAATACCTCTGCCTTTGATAGCCAGCAAACAAGTCTTTTTGTTTATCTAGATCCTCTGGGAATGCTATTCCAGTGAAGGAGAGATATCTACACCAAAACTTGAAGACAACATTCTGCAAATAGTTACTGATTTATAGTGGGCACTTAAAAGTCCAGTCATAGCAGTACATGTATATGGTATAATCAAAGAAAAGAGTGTATTCAAATGTACTTATACCGGGGGTACGGATGAACTTCGATATCTCTAACACTGATATCTTGAATATTATGGATTCATTGTATGTCCAGGTTATTTGGAAGTCCCAACCACCTTTTTAGCTCTACTGGTCAGAGACCAGAAGAGCTTATGCGATAGTAAGGTGTCCGTCGTCCGTCCGTCTGTCTGTCTGTCTGTCTGTCCGTCTGTAAACAATTTTTCAAAATGCTACTCCTCCTACAGTTTTGGTCTGATTTCAGTATAACTTGGCACACAAGTAGACTACACTAAGATACATAATTCTGTGTATCGGTTTTTGATTTCGATGAACGGTGTTGCCATGGTTACTAAAAATAGAAATTTCTGTGAAAAACATTCAAAATGCTACTCCTCCTACAGTTTTGATCTGATTTCAGTATAACTTGGCGCGCAAGTAGACTATACTAAGATACATAATTCTGTGTATCGGTTTTTGATTTCGATGAACGGTGTTGCCATGGTTACTAAAAATAGAAATTTCTGTGAAATACTTTCAAAATGCTACTCCTCCTACAGTTTTTATCTGATTTCAATATAACTTGGCACACAAGTAGACTATACTAAGATGCATAATTCTGTGTATCGGTTTTTGATTTCGATGAACGATGTTGTCATGGTTACTAAAAATAGAAATTTCTGTGAAATACTTTCAAAATGCTACTCCTCCTACAGTTTTTATCTGATTTCAATATTACTTGGCACACAAGTAGACTATACTAAGATACATAATTCTGTGTATTGGTTTTTGATTTCAATGAACGGTGTTGCCATGGTTACTAAAAATAGAAATTTCTGTGAAAAACATTCAAAATGCTATTCCTCTTACAGTTTTGGTCTGATTTCAGTATAACTTGGCGCGCAAGTAGACTATACTAAGATACATAATTCTGTGTATCGGTTTTTGATTTCGATGAACGGTGTTGCCATGGTTACTAAAAATAGAAATTTCTGTGAAATACTTTCAAAATGCTACTCCTCCTACAGTTTTTATCTGATTTCAATATAACTTGGCACACAAGTAGACTATACTAAGATGCATAATTCTGTGTATCGGTTTTTGATTTCGATGAACGATGTTGTCATGGTTACTAAAAATAGAAATTTCTGTGAAATACTTTCAAAATGCTACTCCTCCTACAGTTTTTATCTGATTTCAATATTACTTGGCACACAAGTAGACTATACTAAGATACATAATTCTGTGTATTGGTTTTTGATTTCAATGAACGGTGTTGCCATGGTTACTAAAAATAGAAATTTCTGTGAAATACTTTCAAAATGCTATTCCTCTTACAGTTTTGGTCTGATTTCAGTATAACTTGGCAAGCAAGTAGACTACACTAAGATACATAATTCTTTATATTGATTTTCTGATTTTGATGAACATTGTTGCCATGGTTACTAAAAATAGAAATTTCCTTGAAATAACTTCAAAATGCTACCCCTACAGTTTTGGTCTGATTTTAGTATTACTTAGCTCACAAGTAAACTACATTAAGATACATTATTCTCTGTACCAGTTTCGGATTTTGATGAACAGTGTTGCCATGGTTACTTAAAATAGAAATTTCCTTGAAATACCTTCAAAATGCTACTCCTCCTACAGTTTTGGTCTAATTTTAGTATAACTTAGCACACAATTAGACTACACTAAGATACATAATTCTCTGTACCAGTTTTGGATTTCAATGAACGATGTTGCCATGGTTACTAAAAGTAGAAATTTCTTGAAATACTTTCAAAACGCTACTCCTCCTACATTTTTTGTCTGATTTCAGTATAATGTGGCATACAAGTAGACTACAGAGATACATAATTGGTGTTATTGTTTTTTGATTTTTGTTGAATGATGTTGCCATGGTTACTTAAATCAAAATTTCTGTAAAATTGTTTTAAATGGGTACTCCTCCTACAGTTTTAGTCTGATATAATAATAAATCTTGCCACAAAAGAGACTAAACCAAGGATCATTATTCTGTTTATTGCTGTTGCAAAGTTTCAAGTCAAAGTGCTACTTTTATCTTCCTTTATAAATACAACCAGTAGAGCTACAGTCTCATCAGAGACTTCTGGTTTTAAAGTATTTTACCCTTGATATCTTGAATCCTCAGATTTCTCAAAGTTTTTTCTCAGTCCCATCCAGTTCGAGATAATGAGGTTTAACCGTATATAAAGACCAAGTAACTGATCATTGTCTTGTCAATATAATTTTAAAATAATAAATAACTTATTTTAAATCTGATATTCACTATAGTATCCATTAATTGACAATATAAGGTGCTATGTTACTTACTAGAGTATTGAAATAAAAAATAATTTTCATACTTTCAATGCAGGATCAGCACCAAGTTTTATCAGGGATTTAACCTGTTCTTTGATAATCTTCTGGAAAGCTTCATAAGTGTGCCATGGACGACCTAGATCTTTTTCTACAACAATATATGGATGTACAGAACATGCTTAATGATGGCCACAACTATGCTGAATTAAGACTTTAATGTTGTGGAAAATATGATTTTCATGGTCCAAATAACATAGCGGACAAGTGTATTGATTTTGTGGAAATTTTTGGTTTTGTTACCCTGTATAAAAATGCAAAACATCAATTTACAAGAGGCCCATGGGCCACATCGCTCACCTGAGCACACTGGCTTGGCAAAAGCACAAATCAGTTCAGTATTGAAAATATTACCGGGGGGGGGGGGGGGGGGGGGGGGGTATTATATATATATTTTTAAAAAAAAAATTTCCATATATTCCTTTGTAAAAATTTGATCCCCCATTGTGGCTCCTCCCTATCCCAGGGGTCATCATTTGAACAAACTTAATCTACACTACCTGAGGATGCTTCCATATAAATATGACTAAACATAGCTTTTCTGTTCTTGAGAAGTAATATTTTTTCTATATGTTCTTATGTAAAAGTTTTGATCCCGCATTGTGGCCCGACCCTATCCCCGGGGGTCATCATTTGAACAAACTTGAATCTACACTACCTGAGGATGCTTCCATATCAAAATGACTAATCATGGCTTTGCAGTTCTTAAGAAGATATTTTCCTATATATTTCTATTTAAATAAGACTTTGATCCTCCATTGTGGCCCCACCCTACCCCCAGGGGTCATGATTTGAACAAAATAGAACCTACCAAACATGCGGATGCTTCCATATAAATATGACTCATCATGGCTTTGCTGTTCCTGAGAAAAGATTTTTTAAAGGTTTTTTCATATATATTTCTATGTAAAACTCTGATCCTCAGAGTGGCCCCGCCCTACCCCCAGGGGTCATGATTTGAATAAATTTGAATCTACACTACCTGAAGATGCTTCCATATTAATATGACCAATCAGGGCATTGTTGTTTCTGAGAAGAAGATTTTTAAAGATTTTTCCTATATATTTCTATAGAAAACTTTGATCCTCCAGTTGTGGCCCCGCCCTACCCCTGGGGGTCATGATTTGAACAAATTTGAATTTACACTACCTGAGGATGCTTCCATATAAATATGACTCATCATGGCTTTGCTGTTCTTGAGAAGAAGATTTTTTTTTAAGGTTTTTCCTATATATTTCTATATAAAACTTTGATCCTCCATTGTGGCCCCGCCCTACCCCTGGGGGTCATGATTAGAACAAACTTGAATTTACACTACTGAGGATGCTTCCATATAAATATGACTCATCAAGGCTTTGCTGTTCTTGAGAAGAAGATTTTTAAAGGTTTTTCCTATATATTTCTATGTAAAACTTTGATCCTCCATTGTGGCCCCGCCCTACCCCCGGGGGTCATGATTTGAACAAACTTGAATCTACACTACCTGAGGATGCTTCCATATGAGTTTCATCTTTCCTGGCACTGTGGTTCTTGAGAAGAAGATTTTTAAAAGATGCTTTTAATTTTTCACAAATTCTTTATTATCTCCCCTTGAAAGAGGGCGTGGCCCTTCATTTGAACAAACTTGAATCCCCTTTACCCATGGATACTCTGTGCCAAGTTTGGTTGAAATTGGCCCAGTAGTTTTGGAGAAGAAGATGAAATAGTGAAAAGTTTACCACGACAACAACAACACCGCCGCCGCCGCCAACGACGACAGACAACGGACAAATTTTGATCAGAAAAGCTCACTTGAGCCTTCGGCTCAGGTGAGCTAAAAAAAAAGACTGCAAGTGCTAGAATCAACATATACACAATAAAATTATTCTTTCATAATAGTATTTCACATAAAAATATATATACAAATGTAACACTAGGCACTAGCTTTAGAAAGCTGTTGATCAACACGATCCCTTAAAAATGCTTTTGTATATTTCTTGTCATGAATTTTAAAAACATGATGTTTGAATAATTGAACAGATACTTTATACTTATTTTACCTTTATCTTCTCTTTTTGATTTAGACTGGCTTTTTGATGATTTAATCTCCAGTGTATTTGATGGACGAGGCGCAAATTCATCCTCAATCTCTTCTACTCGGAAGGCCTGAATTCAATAGTAATCACTTACTAAACATAAATGCTAAAAACAATAATTTTTCCTTACATGTATTTATGTGGGTTCACTTTTGACTACTTAATCATCTTGCATTGACCATGACCTTATAAAGAGATCTGGTTAGCTATTAGAATCTTTATAGGAAGGAGTGGATCAGCGATAGATAAGTAAGGGAAGGGAACAGGGCGTTCCGCAAGGACCCTGAATTCGTAAAACCCCGAATTCCCAGGAATGCCAAATGGGCTTATCACGTGATATATTCAGTGTATATATAAGACCATCAAAGCTCGATTGAGACAGTCACAGATAAAGTTACACTTATGGTAGCAGCAGTAGAAGACATCCAGTGAGAAGATCACTATGCAACAGTCTACAAGAGTGTTGTGTAAGCAGGCAGTCTTTGTTTATCTAGAAGTAACCTGTCGCTTCTGGTACGCGTGGCATGCCGGTGCTTTGGTTGCTTCTGTGGGCATTTCAGGAAGTCGCTCCAGTGTTAGAAGCCTCATTGATTAGGAGGCAGTTCATTTAATTATTTTGTTTACCTGCGTGCTAGGGAAGCACCCAATATATGTATATAGTATCAATGTTATTGTAAATAAGTTCATATCCTGCAATCAAATACCTCTGCAAGCTATCTGAGGGGGGCCTAGACCCAGAGGAAAATTATACTATGTTTGAAGGCAAACACATTACAGGAGCAATCTTCAAGAACTGTCTTTGAGATCAAGTCAATGGCCACTTTCACTCTGGAGATTACAAAATTTCTCGAAGACAGAAGTGCGCACAATAGAACAGACTGTCTGTGTGAGATGACAAATCTGAACTCCTTCAAGGTTGCCCTACACCATCATATAAAAATTATAGGTAGAACATTACACTAAAAGATCATTTCTCCCAGTACTTATGCTGTTCTGCAAGGTTACACCAAAATCTACATGAACACTACCAGGTCCAGTACAATCAGTACATTTAGCTACATAGCTAAAATTACCAACTGTAGCTTTATTTACTTACCTCAGGTAGCTTTATTTAGCTTTCAAGGCAACTTTTCACAATTTTGCTTTTTATTTTAAAAATACAAAATCGCAAGTAAAAGTCTACTAATATTTATTCTAGGTATTATTTAGAAAACAATCCAAAGCAGAGATAGTTTTAACATAGCTGCAGATCTGTAGCTCGCTGGTCTGAAAAAAAATTGGGATGGACAGAGAGCAACAGTGCAACCCATTGAAAAAATGTGTATACATGTACATGTACTTATTGCGCACAAAAAAATGTGCTGTTTCACGATTTATTTCTCCACATATACAGTCAGGGGTGAGACTGAAATCCATCATATTTCAAAATGATTGATAATGGTATTTTCTACTAACTACATTACTGTACATGTTTTTATTATTTTTGTAAATGACTTGTTTTCATCATATTTCCATTCCCAAGTTAATTCTTCCAACCCATTTACTACAATAATAAGATAAAGTACACTATCCTGCCATGGACCAATGTGTAGAGAAACATCTACACTAGAGAAACATCTTGACAAACAACTGAAACCAAAATAAATTAGTGCGCCCAGTAAAACTAATGAGATAATTAAGTTCGCCCAGACCTAACAATTTGATAAAAAAAAAATTATGAAATACAGTCATATTTATTATTAGAAGTAACTGTATATTTTAAAATAAACTCCAAATAGTTATGACTGTTTTTCATCGTTTTTCTAAAAAATGATGAATTTTAGTCATTATTAAAAATCAATTTTATGACTAGAAATCATCATTTTTAAAAATCAAAGTACTGAAAGTACTGGGAAGCGCTAAGTAATGTTTGCAATTTGAAACTCGTCAGATTTATTTTGAATTTAAATTGTCTGTTGTATTGGAATAAGTAATATGTTGACAGTGCAACCGCTGTTGATACATATTCACTTTAAAATAAAACTTGTATCCGCCTCTTTAAACCGCACGAGGATAGATTTGAAGATTCGAGACTGTGTCATCACATGATGTCTTTAAATGTCGTTATTTAACAAAGCGAGTGAAATCTATTATACATTTTCATCAAAGTAAGTCTTATCGCACACAAAAAGGAGCAATACTACAGTTATGGAAAAAAGTCTATTTGTGTTAAATGGCATTTCCAGAAGTTATTACGGAAAAACGTTAATTTGGCGCAATGTGCACAATCCAAATTTACTCTTCGACCCGGCGTTCCTTTAAGAGTTAGTTTAAGTGAGTTATGAGCAGCACTCGATTGTAGTTTGTTTTTTTTTTTTCCCACAAAGGAATCGAAGTAAAGACCGGTCCTTTGGGTGAGACTGTATAAACTGTCAGGTTCCGTGTCACAGTAGGTGTTAGTACAAAAAAGATCCTCACTGCTCAAAGGCCATAAGTGCCGACCATAGGTCTAAATTCAGTCAAGTGGTGTAGTTTCAATATGAGTGAAAAATTCTCGAAAAGACATTACACAAAAAAAGAGAAAAAATTATAGAAAATTCGAGCCCATTATAGTTTGCTAAACTTCAAATTAAAATGGCTTAATCACAATACTTTGTATCAGTAAAGTATCTATAAAAATACTAGAAATCTGACCAGTCAGCACGGGCCCCGCCGAGGGGTAGAAATACATGTATAAGGGTGCAGATTAGGGGATGAGAATTTTACTTAATTACAAAAGTTTAAAAATATATAAAGAAGAATAAGCAACAGCATTTGCTAAATATCCAACAACCTGTAAATAGTTTCCTTGTATTTACATAACGCAGTAAAAAACATCATATCTATAATAACTCAATTAAATGTATATTTAAAGAAGAATGAAGCATGTGTTTTCTAAAATGCCAGCCTTCAGTGAATGCAAATATCACCCAGGCTTGACCTTAACTTCAAAACAAACATCAGTTGCAGATAAAGGTGTTAATCAAACTTAAAGTGACAGAAAGATACATGTAACTCTCTAAAATTTTCTGCAAGCAGCAAGATAATCAATCCCAGGGATTAATTATACTGCTCTCTCACTCTTTTCTTCTAAGTTTACAATAAGAACGTTTTCAGCAATGATAGAGTGAGGTTATTATCTGAATACCTGTTAAAATAAATAGTATGCTTGAATTTACATAATGCAGAAAAAAAAAGAAAGAAAAAAAAAATAATAAAAAAGATATCTTTATCTATATCTTGTTTTTAGAATTCAGTAAAATCATAACTCATTGTGTATTTTACCAAAAAAAAGTATGAACATTATTTAAATCCACATTTCAGAGAATGTAAACATCACTCAGAATTGACCTTAACTTCAAAACAAACTTCATTTGCAAAAGAAGTGTTAATTAATCTCAATGTAGCAGATAAAAATAAATGCTTTGGATTTTCTTCAAGAGGAAAGTTAATTAATCCCAAGAGACTCATTGCAGCCTTTCCTAGTTTACAATAGGAACATTCTCAGCAGTTATCTCTCTTTGCCATTCACTCTTATATAAAGTTAAGGAATCTACCCCACCACCCCAGCTCCAAACCGGATGACATAGAGAACCAAACTTAGCATCAAAATATGTCTTACTGCCTATTCAACCAACATACAAAATTTGAAGTTAATTGGTCAACCCTAAAAAAAGTTATTAGAAAAAAACAGAAAATTTGTGGACGGAAGAATGACAGACGGACAGACAGACAGCTAGACAGACGGACAGACAGATAGAGTGATTACTATAGGGCACCCGCAAATCCTTGCGGGGCCCTAATAAAAAGACAATTACATATAGTTTGTCTTAAATTTTGTTAACATGGTCAATGTTAGGCAAAATATTTTAAGAGCACTTCTTTCTCCTGTGTCTTAAAAGAGTCTTTGATAAGCTTTTAAAACACCCACAGTGATGAATATTGCGGTGTATTCAACCATAGGCGCTTGGTTTCAGGATTGTATATTTTGTGTATTATGTGTTTTCCTAGGTGGGTCTGAATACTTTTTTTAAAATAAAAATGTCGATGTTAGTAGGACTTTTAAAATTATATATAATATTTCTGTATATAAAAAGTTGAAAGGTTCGACACTCGTATTCTTGGATGCCTGGGGTGCTCTCAGTTTACACTTACAGTGTAGTTATTTTCAACATCTACCATTCTTCATCGCCCTTGGAGTCCATAAAATTTAGTTTTGCGTATAAATTGCAAGCAATGGGGGGGGGGGGGGGGGTCGACGAGTTTTCCAACAAAATCCAGACTATACACATAGCTATACATTATACATTCGCTTGAAAATGTATATTTTGATCAATTTTGAACACAAGAAAATGTCGCTGATATATTCCTCTCATTTATGTGCCACATTGACAGCTAAAAATGTCCTGGTGATAATTTTTAACAATAAATGCATTCCGTGTTCATGAGTGTTTCAGATTGAAGATTGGCTATTGACTGTGATTTTATTTGTAAGAAGTGCACTCAAAAATACATGTTATTTTTTACTGCTTCGATAAAATAATTCCTAATTGATAAAATATTTATTAAAGTTAAGAATAAAAGATCTTAAAACTACTAAATATTTTGTCTGAATTGTTTTTAGTATATTTCATTTTTTGCATATTCATAAACGAGTTATAAATTTATGATTCTATAGAAAGGATTTTATAAGAAGTACATTCAATGGCGTCCTGATAGGAATAAAATTTCCACAGCACTGGTGTGTTCGGTGAAACAGAATTCTGAAAATAATTAAGGTTTTGCATTTTTCGCCATATCTTGCGCACTGCACACTTTTGTCATAAATATTTCCGAGAAATTAGTTTTCATTTATAAATCTTCATGCCCTACATGTACGTACAGCCGCAAACTGCCTTTCCTTGCGAATTATTTACATAATTTTTGAGGTCCGTGTTTGCTCTGCTCCTATTTTGTAACGTTTAATGGACGTTGAGCTCGAATACGGCTCGTTATCTCCCCATATTTCATAATATTTTTTTATCTGTGTTACACGTATAGATTACAACACGAGTACAGACAGTCCATGACTGCATTCCAGACTGTTATTAATTGATACTGAGATGCGACACTCAGCATCATTGAACAGTGTGCAAGGATGATAATAAAAAGACATGTTTTTAGTTACATTGTCCGAAATAAGGGTCTAGAAGAAGAAATATTAGTTAATATGGATATGAATTATACAGAACGTAAGTACATTGTAAATCAATTTTCTGAGTTTTAAAAATATGTACGTATTCAACCACTGCATTACATGACCTATTATGAGCCTTTTTTAAGACATTTGCACCAAAGATGTTTTTTTTCATAACTTTTTCGAAGTAACACTGTAGTAACTGTTATATGTTAAACAAGTGGTGTGTGCCTACATAATTTTTAAATGAACTACAATGTAAAGAGATAAGAACCGCCCCCATCCACTAGGAGCGGATTTCATACTCTCTATCTCTCTTATTGACACCTATAATTAGGACTGTGCGTAACGCAGTACTTGAACAAAATAGCCGAAAAAGAGTCGGGGATTTCCAGTTCGATATTTTTAGAAGAGTCAGTGGAGTTATCTAACTTGTTTAGTGGCGCTGGATCGCAAACGGAAGTTAGTATTAAGATGCCAGTAAGCGCTTTGCGCTGCGCTTAATGATGAATTTTAGTCTCGCCCCTGACTGATATATAAACTAACATCTCAAAATATCACAAGCTGTGTGTTCCTAACATATTTTTTCACTACTTCCACAAAAAAACATTTCCCCAAACCGTTGTAAACAGCCCTCCTGGGCCTGAATTTGAGACCATCAAAAATTTCGCATATTTATACTGCCATCTTGGGTGGCAAGACAATTCGGTCCAACATGCTTTGTACATGACTTGTACATACAGTTTTGTTGTGGAAGTGGTAAAACAATATGTTAGGAACAGACAGTTAGTAATATTTTTAAATATACTGAGAAATAAATCACAGTTAGTAATATCTTTAAATATACTGAGAAATAAATCGAGAAATAGCGCTCTTTTTGTGCACAATAAATACACACTTTTTTAAATGGGTGGCACTGTAAGCTCTCTGGTCATCCATCCCAATTTTTTCAGACCAGTGAGCTACAGATCTGCAGCTAGTTTTAACACTGCAACATTTGAACACTCTTTAAGGAAAAGATGTATTTCCATTGTTTGGGTAACTGTACACCATCTTGTGTGTGATGAGGCATGGATAAGTATGATTACTTCACATTGTGCTCATGTTGACCAGAACTGGTTTTCTTTGTTATTTCATTCAAGAAGTAACTCTTTGATCACAAATTAACTGTTGTATATAGCCTCAAAACTTTTAGAACTTTGATTGCAATTGCACAGAAAAAGACATCTCCAAGAGTGATTTTTTCATGAATTGTTTTCAGATGAGTTCATAGTTGAAGATTATCACTGCATCAAAGTGCAATTTTCTGCGCTTTCTGGGGAAAATACCAATTTAAGAAATAAGTGTGGTTTAGTAGCTAAATTAAGCTACTTCAGGTAGGTAAATAAAGTTATGTAGGTAATTCAAGCTACGTAGCTAAATCTAGTGATTGTACCTTGGAGACCTGACTACAAAGAGCTAGCTACTTCAGGTAGGTAAATAAAGCTATGTAGGTAATTCAAGCTACGTAGTTAAATCTAGTGATTGACCTGATCTGACTACAAATAGCTCAAAATATAGCGACGGAAAAGCAACAGGCAATAATTCTAATATTTGCTAAATTTGTGTTGTCAAAAAATGGCGTGAAAAATAAACGATCGGGTGGTCGTGTGTTACGGACTGATACAGTAAGGCGACGACATATACAGTCGCAAAAGTTTTTCGGAAACCTTTTTGAAGTATTACTGCAAGTGTTTATGGATGAACATAAATAATTTGCATCATTTCAGCGGGAAAAAAAATAATAATGAAATATTCGTTTCAAGAGAAAAAATTGAATTTCAGAATATACACCAAGAAAACCTAATTTTTATAAAACAGAAAAGTACTTTCTATGAGAATTTAATCTAAAAATAATTTTAAATCCTTGTATTCAACACCAAATCACGTTTGATCACATGGACTATTTTTGGCGGACAGGGTTATTTGCCCTTTGCTGTCATTAAGGAAAACGAAAGCATGAGGGGTTTGTAGGATTTTAGTAAATTGCGATGTGCCAAATGGTCATAACATCATGTGAATGTCTTGCTTTCAACAATTTAGTTTATTTTGACTTTGTAAGGTGACGTACGAAGATGAGGGTTATATTCAGCATAACATTTCAGTGTCTGCTTTTCATAGGCTAAAATAATTGTATTAAAAATTGGAGAAAGTTTTCTAAATACACTCACAGAAACTATAACTTACTTGGTAGTTCCATTTATCATTAACCCCCCTCCCCCTTCAAGCCAAGCCAACTCAACAACCCTTAAGTTATAAATTCATCTGTAACTAGATCAATTTGTTTTACTTCATAAAAATAATTCATCAATACTTCAAATAAAATTTAGAGAAATGACATTACAATCAAGCAGAACTTTGTACATTACATCTTACTGAGAGAAACAACATCTGTAATGTATAAGTAGGTTAAGTGAGAAATTATTGGATTGAGAATTGGGTCATTTAACTTCTTTAACATAAATATTCCAATACATAAATTTATGGATGACGATAAAACATATCTTCATTTTGTGCCTCATGCAATACTCTCTTGAATAATTATAATGTATAGCCAGTTTAGCTTTTCTTGTTACTTTCTAATACTAAAATAAAATGTGTGCGAGTTTGATGTGTATGTAAAAAATTGTGGATTATTAACTTTTATTTTACTTGCTGAGGCTTTAGTTATGATGCAATTACAGAATTTCTGATCATGATATTAAGTTTCATAACTTTAAACCTATCCTTTCTCTTTATCAAAGTAATCATTATTTGTGAAAAACATCTTGTTCCCATAGTAAGAATTCTATTCCTAAATTTTTATTGTGTATATACCCCCTCCCTTTTTCAGGGGGGGGGGGGGTATTTTTTTTTAATAATTTTTTTGGCAATTCTGATGCTGAATTTACAAAGAAATCTAGCTGGAGAAATATTAAGTTTTTGATATTGATATTTCTCATACTTTTTATCTAGCAAAGAATGAAAAAGATAAAGTGTTACCACATTTCGAATTCTGGCAAACCATATAATATTTGTTTTTCATGTGATTATATACACTGGAAAACAATTTAAATACATATTTTTTGTTTATATAATTGTCTTAAGGTCAAGATCTAGTAAATGACTTCAGACTAACTTTTTGGTGCTAGATCCATTATGACGTCATAATCAATTTTAACTTTCTTTTTCCCATACTTTACGGCTCTAGTAGAATTTTGTAGAAAATAAAGTATTTTCATGGAATTCAATTTGAAATCATGTGAAAAGTAATCCCAATACCTATATTCAATTTGCTATTATTTTAAAGAAGAGGCCAAGAACATACATATTACCGTTTTCTGAGAGACTGTAGGCAATCTGGATATATTTCTTTGTCTGATATGGAAAAAAAAACTCCCGTATTCATGACTGGTTTTCTTAATTTTCCATTGAAAATGACAGTTTAAAATATGATTTTTCGTCTTGTTCATCTACAAATTATGCCCCGCAACACCTTATTTGACCAAGCTAAAGTTATAAAGCATCATTAAAGGAATTTATTTCTCAAATTTGAGAAATCTGTAGGCACCTTTCATTTACTAGATCTTGACCTTAAAGCACTTTGCATTAAATAAAGAATTGTAGCTAAGTAGGTTTTGTCTCTTTGATTTTTTTTAAAAAATGGCAACACTTTTTGGTTCAAGATGTGAAAAAATGAAAAACAAAAAATAATCATAACTTTTTTATTCTTCAACCAATTTCAAAAAATTAAGCTGTTTTGGAAATGGTTTTGAAGGCTCTTAAATATAAAGTGTTGCTTTTTAAATTAAGAAGTGCTTTTAAAAATCATGTTCCATAGCTACAAAATAGTCAAATTCAAAACGCATCTTGGTGATTGTTTAAAGACGATACCTGAGATTGTGTTTGGCAAGTGGTGCAGTAGAAAAACCCATCAATCTCCTCATAGTCCTCGCCATCACATGTTTCACAAACAGGCATGGCGATGATCCTTCTAGTTCTAAATTATTCTACACCGTCTTCTCACCGGATATAGCAATGTTGCAACTAATAAAAAGTAAACACTTTCTGGGCGAACTTGATTTACGTACACCTTTCACACCGTGTACACCTTCCTTCATCAAGTGCAGGGGTGTATACTTTTGGTGTACACTCGGTGTACACTTTCTTACACCAAATTTAGGGCATGTGTCGAAAGGTGTACACTGCATCCAAAATTTAAGAAATGATTTTATGTAATCTTAAGGATAAGAAATCACATTCAAGTTGTCTTCTGTGTTTAAGTGATGGCATTGAAATTATTTTTTAACTATCTTCGATAATTTAAGGGCGAGGCTATCCGCACGACGGACGTGCTAATTACCGGTGTTATCCGCACGACGGTCGTGCCGATTACTGTTGTTATCCGCACGACGGTCGTGCCGATTACGGAGGCTATTCGCACGACAAACTTTGAAACAATTTTATAATTTTTTTTGGTTTATAACTTTATACTATTTATATTTGCATATACTTTATTTATAATTTTTTTTGTTTATAACTGACTTTTTTTTGGGGGGGGGGGGGTTCCGGACAGAAAACGTTTAGATGAAACTATATATGTTCACTATCAAAGTATATAATAATTTTACTTAACCGAATACTATTATTAGTTCTACAGTGCATCTCTTTTACTTTGTATTAAATTTTTGGTGAAAAGTGTATATAATGTACTATAGAGTTATCTCTCTTGTGTCGTGCGGATAAGAACTGTAATTAGCACGACCGTCGTGCGAATAACGAAAATAATCGGCACGACCGTCGTGCCGATAGACACTTCCATAATTTAATCAATTTTTAATGCACTTAATATTTTTTCTTCATTTTTTAAAAAATTTAATCAGCCACACACTGGAAAGATACAAAACATATGGTACACTATGTACACTGCACCTCGTAAAATGCACTTGATTATACGATACCACTTTTTACGGTAGAGTCTATAACATAACCCAGTCACGGTTTCCGGGAAAATTATTTCCGGTATGGTTTTCAAACGTACAATTTGCTTTAACACCGAACCCGATTGTATTTTTCGTGACATTGAGGCGGGAAATCCAAGTAAGGAAAAGTTCGACGTATTGAATGCCGTTATCCTTTCATCTCAGCAACTGTATGAAATGGATGAAGAAATAAGGTAAGAATGTTGTATGAAGATAATTATGATGTAGTGAATATGCGGTATTCAAGAAATTCTCAACACCTGGATAAAGTTTTGTAAAGATATAATCAGTGATAATACCCGGATTCAATGAGAGAGGGTGCCAAATTTAGTCGGGTGTTAACAGTTGTTTTTATTATTATTATTTTTTTTTCTTATCCATAGTGACACTTGGAAAGATCTGTTCGATGTAAAATCAACATCACTATCTGGGTATGTGACATCTTCCACAAAATTGGACAAGTTGTTACAGGAGTATGATTATGCAACTTCCTCTAGTTTCCGATGTTTAAAAAGTTCCAAACAATTTGGAAAGGATGTTGGTAAGGTCTTGTTGCGATATTTTATTTTTAAATGCAACTTTAGCAAAATAATTTCTTGAATCTTCTCATTATTGTAACCATTTTAAGCTCACCTGAACCATAGACTCATGGTGTCGGGTGGTTACATTTTGATTCCGTGTTTGACCTGCATGGTTACGACCTATTAAGTGGTTTTGACCTGCACACAGGTAAGTACATGGGTAGCTGTATATTGATAACATAATAGCTTCTTAAATTAATAATTAAAATATGCATTGTCGATAAAAAAAATCCTATGTAGACAAAAACAAAATGTGAAACTGTTGCAAGTGTTAATTAATTGCTTCAGAACAAAACCACTTGTGTCGAACATGGATTTATGTCGAAACCACGCGGGTCGAACAAGTAATAGGAAGGTAACCATCCCCACTCTAGGCTCACATGAGCTTTTGTGATCGAAATTTGTCCATTGTCTGTGTTGTTGGTGTTTTGGGTGTTGTAAACATTTTAAAAACTTCTCAACTTATTCTCCAGAAAAGTTGAGAAGTTGAACTTAGAAACTTTTTTATGTATTTGTTCAAAGTAACACCCCCCCCCCCCCCCTTATCAGATTCACATTTGTTAATACCAATTTACACTGAAAATTCTTTTGCAATTACTGTAGATGTAGGAGAGATTGATAAATCCCATATCAGATTTGTGGACACACAGGAAAATGCTGAACCCCATATAGAATATGATGCTATCCCTTTCATTATTATGGGCAAAAAAATCTTGGAATGTCACCAGGGATATGACAAAGACAAACGAAACAACCAAAAGAAACAAAGCAAAGCAAGAGAAGATGTAAGTATGCATTATTTATTCTACTTCTAATAAACTAATAATGAGGCAAAGATAAGGACTGAGAAGGATAACCCACTGTCTAGGGTTTCACATTACATTTTATGAGAACTAGACCAGTTGGGCTATGGTATATCCATTCTCTGGGGAACAACATAACCCAGTCACTGAGGAACATAACCCAGTCACTGTTTAACATAACCCAGTCACTGAACAACATAACCCAGTCACTGAACAACATAACCCAGTCACTGTTTAACATAACCCAGTCACTGTTTAATATAACCCAGTCACTGTTTAACATAACCTAGTCACTGAGGAACATAACCCAGTCACTATACAACATAACCCAGTCACTGTTTAATGTAACCCAGTCACTGAACAACATAACCCAGTCACTGAACATCATAACCATGTCACTGAGGAACATACCCAGTCACAGAGAAACATAACTAAGTCACTGAACAACATAACCAAGTCATTGTTTAACATAACCCAGTCACTGTTTAATATAACCCAGTCACTGTTTAACATAACCCAATCACTGTTCAACATAACCCAGTCACTGAACAACATAACCCAGTCACTGTTTAACATAACCCAGTCACTGTTTAACATAACCCAGTCACTGAGGAACATAACCCAGTCCCTGAACAACATAACCTAGTCACTGTTTAACATAACCCAGTCACTGTTCAACATAACCCAGTCACTGAACAACATAATCCAGTCACTGAGGATCATAACCCAGTCACTGTTCAACATAACCCAGTCACTGTTCAACATAACCCAGTCACTGAGGAACATAACCCAGTCACTGAGGGACATAACTCAATCACTGAACAACATAACTCAGTCACTGTTTAACATAAGCCAGTCACTGTTTAACATAACCCAGTCACTGAGGATCATAACCCAGTCACTGAACAACATAACCCAGTCACTGAACAACATAACCTAGTCACTGTTTAACATAACCCAGTCACTGTTCAACATAACCCAGTCACTGAACAACATAATCCAGTCACTGAGGATCATAACCCAGTCACTGTTCAACATAACCCAGTCACTGAGGAACATAACCCAGTCACTGAGGGACATAACTCAATCACTGAACAACATAACTCAGTCACTGTTTAACATAAGCCAGTCACTGTTTAACATAACCCAGTCACTGAGGATCATAACCCAGTCACTGAGGAACATAACCCAGTCACTGAACAACATAACACAGTCACTGTTTAACATAAGCCAGTCACTGTTTAACATAACCCAGTCACTGAACAACATAACCCAGTCACTGTTTAACATAACCCAGTCACTGAACCTTTATCTCAGCTTAGCTCTTTTTTTTTTGTAGTCTGACCACACATATAGAAGAAAGCGTAGATTGGTGCAGAACAGCAAAAAGAAAGCTTGTCCTGTTCAAATAAAGATTCGTCATGTTGTGAAGTTTTTAAGCTATTTGGTATGTATTAATTTGTATTATAGACTCACTAAAAATTGTATCGATAAATGTAATGTGTAAATATGTTCAGTGTTTATGTGTTGATGTACGTTTTGCTGTATAATATTTTAAATGAATACAAGACACAATTTACTTTTATATAATTTAAAGCTTTCAAGTAAAGAAAACACACCTCATCATCAAAGGAAACTGGTGAAGAATCTTAAAGAAGACCTGAAAAATTCACAAGTAGAGAAAATTGAACATCCTTTTTATGTACAGTTTCCTGATGTAAAAGATCATAGAAACCATCTGAAAGGAGAGGTAAATAAAGACAATTATTAATGGTATTACTATTATTTATACTACACTGTCTTATGTCAAGACCTTAACTGATGCATTACAATTAAACTACTTTTTATGGAATTAAAGATTATGGGGCATATTTTTAGCTCTACTGGTCAGGGACCAGAAGAGCTTATGCGATAGTAAGGTGTCCGTCGTCCATCCATCTGTCTGTCTGTCCGTCTGTCTGTTAACAATTTTTCAAAATGATATTCCTCCTACAGTTTTGGTCTGATTTCAATATAACTTGGCACACAAGTAGACTACAATAAGATACATAATTTGGTGCATGGGTTTTTGATTTCAATGAACGATGTTGCCATGGTTACTAAAAATAGAAATTTCTGTGACATTCATTTAAAACACTACTCCTCCTACAGTTTTGGTCTGATTTCATTATAACTTGGCACACGAGTAGACTACACTAAGATACAAAATTAAGTGCAACGGTTTTTGATTTCATGGAACGGTGTTGCCATGGTTACTAAAATTAGAAATTTCTGTGAAATTCCTTTAAAACGCTACTCCTCCTACAGTTTTGGTCTGATTACAGTATAACTAGGCACACAAGTAGACTTCACTTTGATATATAACTCAGTGCATTGGTTTTTGATTTCAATGAACGGTGTTGCCATGGTTACTAAAATTAGAAATTTCTGTGAAATTCCTTTAAAACGCTACTCCTCCTACAGTTTTGGTCTGATTTTAATATAACTTGGCACACAAGTAGACTTCACTTTGATAAATAATTTAGTACATCGTTTTTTGATTTCGATGAACAGTGTTGCCATGGTTACTAAAAATAGAAATTTCTGTGAAATTCCTTAAAAACACTTCTCCTCTACAGTTTTGGTCTGATTTTAATATAACTTGGCATACAAGTAGACTACACACACTAAGATACATAAAATAGTGCATCAGTTTTTGATTTCGATGAATGGTGTTGCCATGGTCACT